GGCCTTGTCGCATGGATATCAAGCTTTAGCCACCCGGACATGCCTTAATTGGGGGCCTCCTGACACCCATCAGGTCCCAAAATATGCTAAGTTGCGATAAGGTTAGGGATCTTGGAACGGCCTCAGAGGCCCTAAATATGCAATCAGCGACAAGGAAATCACGATTTTGGGCCCCTCAAATATGCTATTTTGCGACACTCATATGTGAGAGTTGCCCGGGGCCTTGGTAGGAGACGCGTTAAGGAGACGATCGCTGGGGCCTCATTCGCTCATTCGCCCTTCACCCGCTCACCTTTTATCGCACCTCGCCGCTTTCTATGATGGTGTCGCGAATCACTGCATTGTTAAACGTGCTTCTGCATTGTTGCGCATTTCTGTGCGGTTTGCTTGGGAAAGGCGAGTGTTCACTTTGTCTCTCCTATTACATTTTGTTGACTACTTTGGTTCAGGGACTTCTGTCGCTTTGCTGTTTGATGCATTGTACACCTCCCTCCTCGGTGCGGTCACTGAGGCTAATAATATTGTTTCTTTGCGTGTTTGCACTGCTCGTCTGCGAAAGTTTCTGCCGTCGGAGGTGGTTCCCATCGGTCATTCTCTACTTCAGCCTGACCGCTCCGTCATTATGAAGTATGCTATCCGGGGATACGCCTCAGCACCTTTTATGGTCACTTGGGATCCGCTCTTGTGATGCCACCCGAAACTCTGCTGCTGCAGAGTACGCACTGTCGTCGATTAGTCTGTTTCAATTCGCCACCCCCGACCGTAGGACGCGTTTTCGGAGTTACGTAAGCCCTTTCATCTCCGAAACGCGTCGATCAGATCTTGCATGAACGCGTTGCGTCGCGTCGCCCTCCGCCTCCACCAGCGGTTTTGCTGTCCTCTGGTCCTCCATATATGCATTCAATGTTCATATTTTAATACGATAATTCTTCTACATCTGGAATTGTATGATTCTCTCTTTAGTTTGGACCCATATGCTGGATTCAGCACCTTCACAGACTGTTAGATAGCACCAGTCACCAATATAAGGAGAGGAAGCCTGCTTGTTTCTTACCAAAAAAAATGAAAGTTGGTTTTCTGAACCAGCATGCATATAATTACAGTGTACTTACACTACTCATTTGTGTCCTGGAAGCATTGCGAGGCAAGCCTCTGCTATACTATGAGCTCGCGCCACCATCCGGAGAAATCCGTGCGGGATGACACCGCCTTGGCGGCGGCAGTGGTCGGCATGTCTCGGCAATTTCCTAATTGAGGCGACACGCGTTTGAATGTCCGTGCTACGGTCTGACAGGCGCGAATTGAAGCAGACCTATATATCTGCTGACCTCCCTCTGTCAGAGAAGCAGATATTTTGTAGTCTGCCTATCGGAGACAAGTCGTCGATCACGCCTGCCTCCGTCTCATTTTCGATGATCGTCATGCTCTCCCCTTCGATGGTGGCAACCTGCTCGGATTGTGGCGGTTGTCGGACGTGCCATACATTTCGGACTGTATCACGGTCGTTACAGGCACTCCCGCACCTCTAGATAATACATCGTAGTCGAATTTCATGGCCTCCTGTAATTTTCCTACCTTCCTTTCCCATCTCGAAATTACTCCTGTCTCTAATTGTGACTTACCTACATCTCGCGTATATATTCTGCGACGTGTGCTCTCCTACCTGTTATTTGGAACCGGCGCCGACGCGCCAACTCCACCCAAGTACGAGCAAGCCTTTCCTGAAGACGTGTTTCTTGGCGGCCACAGGATCATGTGATCGTGAACAACCTGTTGCAACCCAATGGGTTAATGAGAAAAGTGAAATAGATCTATGAACCGTGCCGGATACCGACTCGCTTTTGGTCTGCGCATAAAGTTGCCTTTCTCGCACTTTCATTTGCATCTGCCCACGCGCCAATTCAGCTTGGACACCAAGTCATCAATCGCAAGTCATATCGCGAACATGTATCCGCCCATCGAACAATATGAAACAGGAAAGTTGAAAGTTTCCGACATACATACACTCTAGTAAGTCGTTATTCTGGCCATTAGAAACTCTCAATGCAACAGGTCGTCTAGCTACGAGATCAGCGGAAACGAGAAAGGAACTCCAGGTGCGTGCTCAGATACATTCTGCAGCAGTGATGTTGATCTGCGGCTTCAGTCGTTTTCCTACACGGTGCGTGTTTACGATGTAGCCTTTGGGCTTGATTATCTTATTCATGCATTATTATAGGCGGCCCAGGAAGTGGTACTGACCCTAAGGACCGTTTGTTCTTTAATCCGGAGAAATACAAGGCACCTTCGTTGATCAGCACGTCAGTTGCTGCATACTCACTTAAGATTTCGGCTAGATCATCTTGTTCGACCAAAGAGGCGCTGGAAAGTCTACTCCGTGAGTATGCAACGTGTCAATTCCCGAGTCAGGTCTGGAGCTGCCGCTTAGGACCGCGTCACTCGAGGAGAATACGACTTGGGACCTCGTCAAGGATATCGAAAGGCTTCGCGAACATCTGAAGATCGCCAAATGGAATGTTTTCGGAGGTTCATGGGGATCTACGCTATCCTTGGCATATGCCCAGGTATGAAACGTCACTACCGTGCAGGCATGAGGTCGTCCAAAACCAACGTCCTTTCAGTCCCATCCAGAACGTGTCAAGACTCTCGTCTTACGGTCTGTATCATCACGCTTATCGCATAGCACATGATCTCATGCACACTCCAGCGGGATATTTACGTTGCGTAAGAGGTGAGTCTCGCTGTTGAAAATGAGTGCAAGTACCAACGTCCAGATGTAGCGAACTCCGGTTCTTCTACCAAGAAGGGACGTCGCATTTGTTCCCAGGCGCATGGTAAGCTCACATTGATAGGAGGTATGGCTTGGTTGCTCAGTCCATCGAACAGGGAGGAATATATCGCTCCGATTCCAGAACCCGAACGACACGACATGATTACCGCGTATCACGCACAGCTCAACTCCGCAGATGAAGAGACGCGCATCAAGGCAGCAAAGGCTTGGTCGAAGTGGGAGTAAGTGGGTTCTCCTGCCGCGATCGTCTGATTTTTGATTGAAGAGCGTTCAGGATGGCCACGTCCAAACTTTACGTGGATCCTGCGCAACTGGCGCAAGCAGATAACGACCGCTGGGCCAAGTATGGGCATCACTTTCTTGCGCAGGTGGTGACCAGTTACTAAGCCAAGCGCTTCGTGGGCAGTGCATTTGCAAGAATCGAGAATCACTACTTCGTGAACGATGTGGGTTTTCTGCGTTCGCATCTCAGTCATGCTTACGGATACTGGTCCTTGCAGGGGTTCATGAGAGATGGTCAACTGCTCGAGAAGCAAGAGATCGACAAGATGTAGCTGACCTTTCACGTGGTGATATTCGCAATTTCACGACTTTCTCTTAGCCGGCACATCCCTACAATCGTCGTCCAGGGAAGATATGATGTCGTATGTCCGGTACGTTTGCGGTCATCCTGTGCATTTATAACATGCTGAATGCTGGGCTCCGTGGTATAGGCAAGGACCGCGTATGATTTGAAGAAGGTGTGAACTCCGTTCATGTTGTGCCGCGAGCAGTTCTGCTGTATCTGAAACATCACACCAGGTATGGCCTGAGATAACGCTGCACATCGTGCCCGACGCAGGGCACTCAGCGAGGGAGCCGGGCACGGCCAAGCTGCTCGTTGATGTAGGCTTCATCTTCTGGTGCAGTTCTTCCGGTTCTGACCCTTCTCCTTGCGGCAGGCAACGGACAAGATGGCTGATCTATGAGCCCCAGTGATAGGATCTCGGGAATCTACCCAGGCTACTGGTGCAATGGGCCATGCTGTGCATTCCGGATCTGGGTGTAGCTCAGACACACGACTCTGTTATCAGATGCTGACCGCGGACCTTGCAGCAGCCGTGAGTGTTTTGAGCTGATCGTCTGCGTGCTAAGCGGGTGTGGCCTGCGCGTGGTAAGAGCTACCCATGCGGCTGATATGTCAAGCGTTACCATCGAGCGGACCTTGCTCCCAGCATGACCAAGTTCTTGACTTCCTGCCAGAACATTATGTCCGAAATGAATGAACGTGAAACTTACACGCCATGTCTCTAGGCTTCGCCTTATCAGCGTCACGCTATTGTTCTGCTGCAAATATCGCTCCCAGAGCGCTCCGCCTGCAGCTCATGTGTTTGCTGAGGCGTTGGGTAGTTTTGTATGCGCATACCGCACTATACCGCAGCAATTGCTTTGACCAACAGATCAGGTCACGTGACACGATATGGAAGCCAGATTTGGTGGTTGTCGAAGTTGGCGTCCATCTTGTCTGTCTCGTTTTTGCCTTCCACGCTCATCTGCTCACGAATTCGCTGCATCATCCACGCGCTTTGTGCAAGGCTTTTGATAGCGCATGCCGGTCTTTGGGCACGCAATTCGAAAGAAGTAAAACGCACCCTCACTAGCCCTCACTCTCTTGTTGCCGCGCGTTGATTGACCCACAACTGCGAGTTCATGTCATTCGCGAGCACCCCGTTAGGTCAAGGCAAACGTGTTGATCGTCATACGTTCTTCAACAAGCCTCATCGACGGGATAACCATCTATTCCAGCGTGCCGCGCCACTATCATACTCATACGCGTGCGTGGCTATATAACGCGCGAGCATCCACCGTGTTGATACCAATCTAGCGCGCCCCCTCTCAGCAGACCTCCTCCTCAACAGCCCGTTCCGCAACATCCAGAGCGCTCGAACGGCGTGGACGAGACGGCGCTTGTCCGCTTCGCGCGGCTCAAGGAGCGCGAGCAGGTCGAGCAGTCAGGCGTAGGCGTGAACGCAGGCCCGCATTCCCACATCTCTCCTCATCCGGAGAAGTGGAGTGTGTACGACACTTCCGTGAACATCGCCGGCGCATTCAACCAGGCCGTTTCATCCACTGACGGCAACCCTCCTCCTCCTATGAACCCCAACGAGACATGGGCTTCCGGCTCTCGTAGGCAGACTCTGCCCCTCAGCACGTCGGTTGAGTACGAGAAAGAGACGCAATCCACGATCAATCGCCGTCTAGCACCACCGTCACTGAGTCGCAACGGGGTGCAGAGCGCGAGCCACATGCGTCAAGGGGTTTCAGAGGGGGAGGGAGGCACATCAGCACAGCAGAACGAGAGGGGAAGGAGCACATTCGGCCAAATCGTGGAAATGACGCAGCAACCGGTTGCGTATCTGATGCGACCACGGGACCCGAAGTTTACGGCGCGAAGCAACGGAAATGGCAACGGCTATGCGAACGAAAGTACAAGCTACGACTATTCCGCGGAGGAGCGCGAGTACCAAGCGGCCGGCGCTACTTCCCAGAGTCAGGCGCCCAGACAGTCGAACGGCGCCCATCGGCGTAACCGCATATCGACAGACAACAAGGCGTACACGCCGTCGATGTCCGAACAAGAAGGGTCAGATGAGGACGACCACGACAATGAGGGCAAGCGTCCAAAGAAGAAGAAGAAGAAGGGTGGCGTCACGGGAGGGCCACCGTTGACTTCGCTGCCTACCGTTGGCCACGACAAGAAGAGAAGGAGGAGATCGGGCGGTAACTCGACTGGTCTGGAAGAGGAAAGGGAGGGGGAGTCAAGCGGTGACGAGCAGGATCGTGGTAGTCAGAAGGTGCGTATCTACATCCCTCTGCAATTTAATGCTTTCATAGAATAGTGCCCACCAGCACTCACAACGTGGGACGCCTCCACAACAACGTATTCCATCGGCGTCGCGCGGCTCCGTGCCCCCAGAGACGTCAGGTTTTTCCGTCGGCCGGGGATCTGTGCCACCTCAGGGCGACTCGACGATGTTCGTAGAGCGGGAGCTGCTTGACGAGATCGACGAGAGCGTCGTGCTCGACAGCACCGATGATGTGCCGCACCGGGCGACGTTCTCGATTGGCGCGACGCTGGGCACAGCAACGAATCTGATCATCAGGCTGGCTTGGACGATCATCCAACTGATGTTCGGCGTCTTGGGACTAATGGCGCGACCGTTCGGCAAGGCGTTCGGGGCGGTAATGGACGTGTTCTGGCATGCACCTCGGCGGTGGATCGCCGGCATGACCATAGGAAGGCTGATCAAGTACGGCTTCATGGGATACCTGCTCTACACGGCGTATGTGATCTTGTACCGGTTCGCGGATGGGAACATCACCGTCTCCTGGGATCCCTATCCTCAGCCTGTTCACTATACGCCTGCGCTCCCGGCACCTGACGAAGTTGGGGTCCGCCTGCAGCAGCTGGAAAGCGCTCTGGCGGTGCTATCTGCGAATACGGAGCGTTCCCGCTCTGCGATAGATAACAGCCGCTCTGAGTTGCTTGGGCGCGTGAATGTGCTCGAGAATCAGGTCTCGAAGGAGCGTCAGCGCAAGTGGGAGGAGGAGAGGAAAACCAGGAAGACAACGAGTGAGGCATTGCAGGCCGTCAAGCAGGAACTAGACGTGCTGCGGGAACAACTTCGGCTTCAAGAGGAGATGCGAGGTAATGCTGAGCCTGTGTTCATGCCTGACGAGGAGGCGCGGGCTAGAGTGCGCGCTCTGGAAGAACGATTCGGGAGTGTCGAGAGCGGAGTCGAGCAGGCTTTGCAGCTCGGAAAGAGCGCGGTAAAGGCGGGTCGCTCTGCGAGTACAACAGGAGCATGGTGGAACAAGCTCACATCAGGCAAGAGCGGCTCCCAGCTGGTGATCAAGTCCAGCGATGGCCAAGATGTCAGCTCACTGATCAATCATCTCGTCGAGTCCTCAGTCTCCCGCCTGACGAAGGACACCCTTGCCCGGACGGACTATGCACTCTACTCTGGTGGCGCGCAGGTCATTCCGTCGCTTACAAGTGAGACATACCAGATCGAGAATGGATGGGGGAGCAAGATTATGGGCTACTTTGGCGGCGGCGTCGGAGGGTGGATTGGGCGCCCGCCTGTGACTGCGCTACACCACGACATCAATCACGGCCATTGCTGGCCTTTCCCTGGCACTCATGGTCAGCTTGGTGTGAAGCTCGCGGCACCGATATACATCTCTGCCGTTACCATCGACCATGTCGCGAAGGAGGTCGCCACGGATATGCGCTCGACGCCGAGGCAGATGGAGCTCTGGGGCCTCATCGAGGGTGAAGATAACATCGAGAAAGTGAAGGAATGGCGCGCCCTGCGTGACGCGAAGCGGGAGGTAGCGCGCACTGAGGCGGAACTACAGGGGCGGCCATTCGCCGACCAGACGGAACCTGCGTACCCGTCGACGCTACCCAAGTCGCCCGAGTACTTCCGTATCGCAAGCTTCACGTACAACGTGCATTCGCCGAACAACATCCAGACGTTTGAGATTCCGGATGAGATCCAGGATCTGGGTATCGATTTCGGTGTGGTCGTCTTGCTGATCGATAACAACTGGGGCAGGGATGACTTCACTTGCCTCTATCGTCTGCGAGTCCACGGAGAGCGGAAGGATGAGGTGCCGCCGCCGTATCCAGAGGACTGTGCGGGGCCATAAGTTAACCTGCAGTATGCTTGTTTCCTCTGCTTCTTCCTACAAAATTGTCGTCCCTTTTTCGTAACATTTCTTCCTTGCTTGTCTAAGGTACTTCCACTTAGTTGTGTATCACAAGTAGCAGCTTTTGTTTTCTGGCTGCCGCATTGCTTTTCGCATATCCCATTAGCTTTACTTTACCGCTTCTCAGTTTCTCATGATTTTCGGTTGAAGATCCATGCAATGCTGACTCAATAATGCGTCAGTCCGTGTTCGTAGTAGTGCATCATCTCTCATGTACGACGTCGGTCACATCGTGTACCTGTACGTTGTGCGCTCAATTGTACAGGAGTGTTCGTTCCGCATCCAACGCTGTTCAATACATTTGTTGAAACCGCTGAGCCCGATGAATCTTCCTTGAAGCTGTGCTCTGTCTAACGAACCAATTTCATAGCTGTAGCCGACGCAAGTACTATGTAGCGACGTCCTGATCGCATTGATCATCATGATCTTATTTCGTACTGCGAACTGCGAACTGCGAACATGGAGAGGCAGAGCTAGGGTAGCGCACATGCGGTATGCGCAGCAGCGACGAGGGCGATGCTTGACTCCGCACCCATTCAAACTTATGTTCACAGCTCCAGTCCATCCGGAGGCGGTACGTCACGACTGTGTAGCACTACGCTAAGCAAGGAACCCGAGTTTTGGATATCAAGGGCTCCGTAGATCCCGAGCAATCACCATCCACACCTTGCCCCATCTCCGCCATCACCTCTGTCCCTGCAATGAGCAAGGAGATTGGCACGCTTGTCGTGGTCGTGCTCAAAGCCAAGAATCTCCCTGACAAACACTCACTCTACAAGCAAGACGTCTATGCACAAGCCTCCATCCATGGAAAGATCAAGAAGACAGGAATCGATGTTCGCGGTGGGCAGCATCCGGTCTGGGACGAAGAGCTGCGCTTCCCAATATACAAGAGCAGCTCAGCAGAGGACAGAACACTCGAGGTAACCTGCTGGAGGAAAGAGCTCCGCGAGGACGAGCTCATTGGGAAGGGGCTGGTCGATATCTCAGACACACTGCGTACGGGCGAGTTTGATGGTGAGCCGTGCAGTTCATTTCACATTATACAGTTCAGCCTGAATGCAGACACAGACTGGGTGAAGCTCGAGGTGGAGGGCGCGTACCGGGGGGAGATGTATCTTGAGATGACCTACTTCGCAGCCAGCCCAGCCCCCCTCCAGCGCCGCCCCTCGAAAATGTCCAATTCAGAGCGACTCTCTCGCCTCTCCCAGCCCTACGTCTATTCAAGTCTGAATCCTGCTGTGCCGACCAGGACGCCGCCGAAGGGTCATTCACCCAGTCGACAACCCCCTGCACAACCTCGTGTACAATCCCCTGTACAGCCAACGCCATACTCTCACCACGGGTTGAGTGCAGAGTCAATGCAACCACCCACAACCACGACCCGTCTTTCACCTCATTCCTCGACGCATACTTCGCCGCGTGTATCGCCCCGATCGCGCTATGATGCGCTTCCTCCTATACCCCAGGAGATCCGATCACCTGCGGACATTCCGGAAGTGCTGCGTCCTGGGAATCCGAGGTCTGACATCCATTACAACGACCAGGGACATGTGATGGATGCCCATATCCACTCTCGGCTGTCCACCTCACCTTCGCCGCATGGCAGATGTTCCCCACATCCCGAGAGACCGATATTGCAAAGCTCTGTACCGTCTGCTCCTCAAGTTTCACCGCATGCCTCCCCTCCCCCGTCCTACGGTGCTCCAGTATTGTCTCATTCAGCACCTCACAGTGAGTCTCTTCCTTCCGTCGGATTTCAAGCATCCAGCCCTGGAAGAGCACACCATGTTGTGAGTCTTGTTCCCGTGGATTATGCGAAACATCTCACTCATCTCATTCAGCCTCAAACGCAGCCCATAGCTTTTCCCGTCACAGAAGTAGTGCATTCGTCGACGCCGCCAACATATACAGCGCCTGCTGCAGCCAAGTCGGCAATGGATGCTCATCGAGTTCCGAGCTTGCACGCTTCTTCTTTCTACGACCCAGTAGCCTGCCCTCCTACACACAGCCAGGATCCTGCTGAAAACTCTTCATATGCGCACCACGCGGCTTCTTCGCCACCGCTTCAGTCTACAGGTTACCCACCTATTCGTTCGACACACTCGTCTCATGGCTCTTATTCTGCTCCTTCGTGTGTGCAGCCGGGCTCGGAACCTCACCGCACATCGATGCCTCCTGGTTCGTATCCCGAATATAATCCGGTGGCTAGCCATCCTGGCTATCACCAAGCACAAGCAGCACACCGAGCCCAATCCCCACCGTATGCGACAAGCCCGCCGCATGTGGCACCACCGCAAGCCCACATCGCGCGTCTGTCCGTATCCCCTAAGCCCCACGGACGGTCGCCCTCCCCAGGGGCATACACAGAAGTGCGCATGTTTGAGCACAACCTCATTCCGCCCGAGAGCCCGCTGAATACGCATTACCCCGGCTCGCCGCCACGCTCCCCTTCGCCGCCGCTCCCGCCGCTTCCCCCTGAGGCGAGACAGTCCGCCGGGATTGCATATGCTTCGCCTCCCTTCCGATCAAGTCACCTACAGTCCCAGCATCAAAGCCAGTCGTACTCGTATAACTACTCCACTGGATCTGCGCCGGGTTCAGAAGGCGATTTCAGCATGCCCGTGCCGGAGGCGTTGCCCTTCACGGATGCTGCGCTCGAGCGCTACTTCCACCCACTCCCGCTGCCTGACGAGCCCGAAGGCGCGCACACGCCGACGCCCGCTCACCCGCAGCCGTACGTTGCGCCGACGGACCCGCGACGTCGGTCTCACTCGCCGCACTCGCGCCTCCGGGACAATTCATTGGAAGCGAAGCGGGAGAGGGAGGCGCGCGACGGGCTGCTGGCGCTGGAGCTGGAGAGAGAGGAGGATCGGAAGCGGAAGGAGGCTGAGGAGAGGGAGAGAAAGGACGAGGAGCTTGCGAAGAAGCTGGACCTGGAGTTGAATATGGCGAAGGATGTCCATGAGGAGGACGTGCGAGACGTGGAGGCGGAAGTCTTTGGGGACAAGAGGGAGGAGGATGGGGAGGATGTACTGGGCCCGAGGTATGATGCGCTGGGAGCGAATGTGGCCCCGCCGAAGGCGCATATGCCTGGTGGTTGGTGATGTTCGTCGATGCATGCGTAAATGAGTACCAGAAACTACTTTTTCTGCGCTTGGATTCTAATATTGTTATTCATGAGAAGCCAGTGTTTAGTGTTTCCAATTAACGACCTGTCCATATAATGCATGTTTAACTGCGCTCACAACGCTCACTTGCCAAAGCGCATTATCATGCAAGCCACCTCCGAGTCGGTAGCTTTGTTCATTTGGTCCGACTCTAAATGGATTCTACGATACAATTGGGTTTTGTCGCTATACTTGTCAGGGCCCTACTATAATGAGTCCAAGGCGCAAGCCACTATAGATACGAAAGTTACCGTGTAGTAGCAGTGGAATAGAAAGGTTGAATGTGCTCCAGCGTCGTTTTTTGAAAGGATTATACACAACCCTTGTACGCGAAACCATTAGCACGTATATATCCCGTAGCGGCGTTGTGTGCATGCTCAGATGCACGCCTTTAAACCATAAAGACTGAAGTGGAGCGGTGCACGAAACCCACTGATTTTAAGACTTGACTTTGCACAACAACAATAGCGAAGGGAACTTCAAGCATCACCAGTCAATTACGCGGAACCTGCAAACGCCATGCAGCCTTGAAATGATGGCACAGTCTCCGTTGAACCTGGGGTAACTTTGACACATAGACTGTTAAGCAAGAGAGCGATGGGTACAAGACAAATCAAGAGTTCCTACTCTGCATGAATAGATGTAGCTCCTAAAATGTGTGTCATACAAGAAGCATTGTTCAGCATATATCACCGTAAAGATCGCATGTGTTCCTCATCGCCGACTCCCAAAACTCGCAATGCTCCCGAACGCTAGACTTGCCCGCCCCAGGAACTCACGCGGGGTGCGCGAGCTATTCTCCTTTATTGGTGACAGATTGATAGGTATGTCCAGTGTTGACCCAGTCTGTGGACATATCAATTGCGTCACTATCTCCTGTCTACAATTGCGAAAGGAGTTAACAACGGCACGTACCCCAACAAGAGTATTCCACTCGAAGGATTGTGGTCGTGCAGAGCCAAAAATACCGAGCTTGCGCTTCTTCTTTGGCTTTGCGGCCTCTTTGTCCACGATGCCATCCGAATCCGACGCGCCATGATCAGCCTCCCTAATGGAAGATAGGTTACTGTTTCCTTTGTGTGAAAGGTTGCCGGAAACCTTGCTAGCTCTCGATACCGGTCTGCTAGACAAACCCTCCTCCTCGCCGTCGTCCTCATCCTTCCTCGCCTTCTTCTTGCCTCGCTGCTTCTGTGTTGACTCGCCCTCGCTAGCTTCATCGTCCACCAAGCTCTGCATCTTCTTTTTCTTGCTTCGCTTCCTCGGCAATGCTTGCTTGTCGCTTGCCTCTTCATCCGCAGGAGGACCCGCCTTGCGCTTGCCCTTCTTGGCCGGCGTGCTCTTCTCCTCCACGATCTCCACCCCATCGTCATCGTCCTCAACCGTCACTTCCTGCTTCTTCTTTGGACGTCCCCGCTTGCGACCGCCTTGATGGCTGGGACTGTGGCGTTCGCCTGCTTTGTCGCCTTGGTAGTGATTAGGACTCCGGCGTCGACCGGACTTGTCGGCGGCCCCCTTTGTCTGTGTCTGAGTGGTCTGCGGACTCTCCACCTCTTCTATCTCATCATCCTCGGCGTGTGTCTCCGCCACAGTTTGCGAAGACTTGTACGCAGGTCTCGGCCTAGGGCGACCGTTTGATTCCTTAATAGAAGACGAAGAGGCCTGCGGTGCTGGACGGTTCTCCCTTCTCTGCTTCTGCGACCTCTGAGTACTCTCTACTTCCTGAACTTCCTCGTCGTACCCATCATGTGTGTGGACCGTCTGATGAGGAGACCTATACGCCGGTCTCGGCTTCGGATGACCATTTGGTCCCTTAACAAATGATGGGGCTGCTTGCGGAGGCGGTTGCTGAATGGAAACTTCCTCGATCTCCATTTCGAAATCTGACTCTCCGCTGAGAGAAAAAGCTTTCTTCTTACCCTACAATTTTAGGCATGACCCTTATAAGTAAAGATCGGAGGAAAACAGATATCTCATCCGACCTTAGACTGCTTCCCACCTGACCGAGCTGCAGTTTGAGTATCTGCAGTCGCAGCGTCGGCCTTAGCCCTCTGCGCGCTCAATCGTAGCTCGAGGGTCTCGATCTGCCGCTTTGCATCCTCGAGTTGTGAGTTCATTCCTCTCAACTCTGTTTCAAGTCGGCCGTGTTCTTCATAAGCGTCGTTGATCGTTTTCTGCTACCACTATCAGTGTCATGACTTCGATAGCACTCCTTGTAACACAAGTATAGGCACAACGCATGCACTTGCCTTGTGTTCCTCGAGTGCAGCCCTGTACTTTTCCGTCTTACCCTTCGCTTTATCAACTGCTGCTCTGTTCTCCTCAACGGCAGCCTCGGCTTCCTTCAGCCGAGACTCCAGCTCTCGCACGCGCACCTCCAACTCGATGCGGCTCCGACGCAGTGCGTCCATCTCTGCACCTTCACGGTTCTCGAGGTTACGCCATTTGTCAACCTGCCGCCGCAAATCTTCGCGCGTGTGCTCGGATTCGCGGAACTTCGCCTCGAGCTCGGCATGCGCAGTCTTCAGGCTCTCGTACTGTAGCGTGACACGCTCCAGGGAAGTCGCTTCGCTGTCTCTATTGGCCAAAACAGTGGTGTGTTCGGCACGCAGCCTTGATATCGCTTTCTGCACCAGCAGCAAGCAAACATTGGATTAGTCCAGGGATCATTGTAAGGCTTTCGCGCAGTAGGGGTGAGAGTAAACAAACCTCGGTGTCCTGCATCTCTTTCTGAGCGGCAGCCAACTTCGCCGAAGCTTCCTGTAGCTGAAGAGTTAGCTTGGCATGTCTGGCTTCCATCTCGGCGGTCTTCTCCTCCATATCCTCTTTCACCTCGTCCATATCGTCTTCGTAATTCGCCTTCACATCTTCCAACGCCCACTCGAGCTCGGAAACGCGGTTATCGAGCTCGAATTCCCTCCGCTGGAAGGCGACTAGTCGGTAGTCGCGCTGGAGTCGGGCCAGTCTCTCCCGCCTCATTTCATCGCGGGACTTGAGGATGCTCAAACGCTCGCTATCGAGGTCGGCGGCGGTTCGAAGATGCGCGATACGGTGGGCGGCCTGCAGCGTGTCGCAGCCCTCCCTCCACTCGGCACGCTCCTCCTTCCACCGCAGCTCGAGACTGGCGATAGCATCCTTTGCGCGCGCCTGTTCTTCGCAGAGTGACTGGCGAAGCTTGCCGATTGTATGCTCGAGTGGACGTCGTTCTGCAACAAGCTCCTCAATATGGGCTTGTTTGGTCGCTATCATCGCCTCGAGAGGAGCAGTAGATGGTGTTGATCGCAGGGGGGTGGGGGCACGGAGAGACATGTTGGCGGGATATTTATACTCGTCACTCCCTCAGACAATGTCATTTGATAAGTCCAACACGTTCGAATCAAGCAGGCGAGCTGGACACAAGCAGTGCTGCTGCGCACAACGCCACGACGTCCACGAGGTTTCGCGCAGCTGGCAGCGGTGCAGAAGTCGGGTCAAAGGACAATGGACGCGTTCTGAGGGATAACTGGTTAACACGGACACGTGACGTATTTAGAGTTCAATTACGAGGCTATTTTCTTTTGGTAACTCCCGATCAATGCAGCGACCATGAGCATGTCTCCGACGACCAAACCAGTGCGCAACGTTAAAGTCAACGTTCCCAGACACAACTCGCAGCGCATAGGTCCAGCGGTGACCGCGCAGGTGGAAACCTACGCTCGCGAAGACCGTGTGCGCATCGACATTAGCCAAACCGCACCGGATCCCAATAGTGCCCTCGGGCAGGCCATTGTGAGTGAAGGCTGTGGTATGGCTGTGCGCATAGCTCAAGGACGTTCCATAAGGAAAGTGCGTCAGAATGGAACTCTCTACTTCTGACTGCTCGCGCAGAGAGGGGTCCTCAATGGGATATCGGAACACAGCAGTACGGACTTCACATTCCCTTTTATTCGCGTTAGGATGACCCTAAGACGATGTCTAGGTTTTTAGTAGAGGAGTACTCTGATTTATATTATGACCCAACTGCCCTACTTGCATACCAGAAGGAGGCTCGTCCTCCCATGGACGGCGAAGACGTCCCTTCTACCTCTACCAACACTGCCTCCAACGAGCAGAAGATCCAGGAACAGCTTCCTGGGACGCCCCGGAATGCAGCTCAGCGTCCTCCCACCACACCTCATACGCCACACCACAGCTCCAACCAGTTTTTTTCGAACAACTTACCGCCCAACATCGCCTCTCCCCGCCACCCATTCCCCACCGCAGGACAGGCCATGGCTGCGCAGGGCATGAGCGGACAGGGAATGGGCTTCGGCAACATGAATATGAACATGAGCATCAATCCAGCACAGCTGTTCGCCGGTGGCCCGGACTCGCCGATGCGTCTCAGCAACCCTGGAATGGCACAAGCTATGGGTGGGATGGGGATGAACATGTCCGGCATGGGAATGGGCATGAATATGTCCAGCAGCGCAGATGCGATGAGCATGAGCATAGGCTCACCAGATCCACGGCGGCGTTTGACACGAGGGATGAGTGGAGAGGATGGATTCGGTGGCATGCATGGGTAGGGAATTCTGCGGAAGAGGTGGCTCTCGTGGATCTGTGGACTACTGGTTCGTGCTTATCTGTATGTTGTTGTCAATACTGGGTTCAATGTCATCATGGAACAAGCAGATCTCCTGCGGTGACGCTGAAGTCGCGCTAAACAGTGTCGCGTCACCAAGAAATGAAAGTCGTCAAGGCTTGCTAATTCATAGACTGTCGAAGGCTAAGGTCATCGTATCGCGTTCTGAGCACAACACCATACCAGTCAGCAGAGTGCCTGATCCTATCCGTTGATCATCGTGCCGTTCGTCCGCTACGATTGCAGTGAACCCATCTGATAATTCACGATGATCCCAGGTGCAGCTGAGTCCGGTCAAACGGTCAGTCAAGCAAAGACCATCGAGGGTCATCGGCCGGGGGAGCACACGCGCAGGTTAGCGGACGTCCTAGTGATCATCATTCAAGACTCCGCTATTGAAACATTTGCTACAACACAATCGACTGGTCACGTTCAACGACGATCCCTTGCATACAGAAGTACAACGATGCACTACACGCCGTGAGGCTGGCGCCCGCACCCAATAATTCACACCACATCAGCAGTACGATATTTACGCTCAATGAGGAATAAAATTCCATATGATAATAACTCCAACGGAAGCCACGATCACCGCCGAACGCCTAGCAGGACTCGCGCAAGCGCTATCCGCGCTCTATTGCCTCCAGCACCGAGTTCAAGACCACTTTCGGCAGCAGAAGCAACCTACTGTCAAACAATCCGCCTTCCTCTGTCTGTGTCTCCTCAAGCGAAGACTTGGTCCCCTTCCGCGTCACGCATCGCAGCCCCAGTTCCGTGGTGCACAAGACTTTGCGGCCAAAACCTGCAGCCTTTCGGCCCTTAACGATACTCGTCGGCTTCGTACCGGCATCCGGATGCTCTCCGTAATCGCACATCTTGTCTATCATGCGTGTAGCCTCGAACGTCTCTCCAGTATCCACCAGTACGACCTCGAAGGTAGTTGACAGGATCTCCTCCCGTGTTATTCGGGCGAGCCTGTACACCGCTTCTGCAATGCGTCGAAGCTGCGCGCCGGGAGAGGACGAGGGCTCGGCGCCTGCGAGCGAGAATACGGTGGCGGACCATCGGAGCATCGTTGCTACAAGTTCTGTGACGGCGTATACTTCCAGGCCGGGATAGAGCATCCGTATAGAACGGTGCGTCAACGCCCGCCATCGAGCTGAAGTCGCTTGGGGCTCTACAAACGACAACTCCTGATTCAGCGCTAGTCTCTACAGTCTCTGTCAAACGAAATGAAAACGCACCAATAGAGTGCATGTAGGTCAAGACACGCGACATGAGCGAATCCAGCTTCGAAGGGAAGCCAACACAGAATAACGCAAGCGATCTCGCACAGCATGTAGCCAGACTCGCTTGCAGCGCCAGCTGCAGTAGTATAGGATCTCGTGCATGATCTCGCGCCTCAAGCAGTCGCACGAAGGCTTCACCAAGCCATGGAGCGCTCTCTTCATCAGCATCTGCGTTCCCCCTTGCCACAGGATTCCGCATCCTCCGCCTCGCGAAGGTGCACGACTCCGTTGCAGACGCGGCGAACTGGTTGATCTCGGCGTTCAGGTCGTCGATGGCTTGAATCACCTGCGCTCCAGACCAGTTGTCTGTCTTGGTGAGGAAAACGTCCCTACTCTTAACCCGTGCCATTTCTTCCACATCAAGGAATGTGCTGGGATGAGAATTTGGCCCTTGGGGCACTGGGGAAGGCGCTTCGCTCCTACGTGCTGCACGCCGGCTATGACTCGGTGTCCGACTGCGATAATGATAGCTCCCGTCTTCTCCGCCGTGCTTGAGACAGCGCACATGTTCTTGGAGGTGCTTGATCTCCTTCGTAAGGCTATGGTTCTTCACCCTCTCTTGATCGCATTCGATCTTCGCCTGGTCCCTCTCTGCCTTCGTCTGCTCCCTCTCCCTCAATAAGCGATCTCTCTCCTCCCTTAGCGCCTCGATCTCCCTATCTCTCAGCCTCAGACTCTCCTGCATCTCCCGCATCGTCTTCTCCAATGCTCTATATCTCTCCGACAGCTTCATCACTCCGATCTGGACCTGATCGCGAGCAGCGTTTCCGTGTGCGGACGCCGTTTCGAGAGCAAGGTCAAGGATCGCTGATGGTGGCGAGCAGGGCGCAGTGAAGGACCCGGTGAATCGGAGTCGTTGTCGGCGCTCGGCTGTGGCCAGTCGCAGGCGGAGCGCAGCACACTCTCGAGTGAGTCGCGCAATGGGATCGACAGCGCTGGACGCTTCCGAAGGGGGCGATAGCTCAATCCGTGGCCTGCGTGGCGCCACCGACGCGCGGATCGCGTAGAACTCAAAAGTGGTGTCGCTTGGAGTCCTGATGTGCATCATCGAGTGGCGGGTCAGAGACAATCTGAAGTCTATGCGATGCGGATGGGAAGGGGAGAAGGGGATGTTGGACCTGTGTGCATACCTTCCGAGTAACTATTTGAAGGGATTCTCAGGGAGGATCGCAGTCCGGGCGGCAGATCTGTGACTGGTGCAATTGCGCTGCGAGAGAATCCGAATACGATCAATGGTTGTGCGCCGAGGAGCACGCGTGTCGATGATCACGAACTCGTGGGGATGGTATCTGGATGGCGAGCGCCTTGAGAAGAAGACGTAATGTTAATGGCGCCCGGGCATATCGCCACTATTGCGGTCAATTCCATTGTAGCTATCTCCGCGACGTCGCTAAGAACAGCCTGCGGGAAAGCACTCAGCGAAAACGACATTCCACAATAAGAGGTGACCATCAACTTACGTTTCACTGTGATGTGGTGCAACTTCCTTGGTGGCTGTACACTGCAATACCGCTGATCTCCTGAATGGTCTGCGTACATTCCATCCATGCCTGGACCTTGCAAGCAAACCGAATGACCCTTCCTGCCCGATGGTCTGGAATTTGGGCAGAATCTGTGGGCATGTTCTCCTCCGTTACGTTGTGGCGCCCTGTCGGTGAATCAGCAGAATGCACGCGGTGATGGTGCGCAGGGAAGTCTCGTTCGAGCGTCATATGAATATCTGTTGCTATTCAGTCATCGAAGATGGTATTTGAACGAGCAAATGCCACTTTGACCCAAAACCCGCATAAGCGCTCGGACATCATGGCAGGCGATAGTCAGGCATGAGTGTGCCACAAAACGAGTGTGTCATCAAATTCCTGCCTCAAGGTTGCCAGCATCTGCTAAGAGCGTATATGAACATCGCGATCGGGCTCGTTTCAGGCGCTGCAGTGGAGGTTAGTGGCGTGTTATAACGTAGACTCGTCCCGCCCGCGATGGAAACTGACCTGAACGTTATTTACAGAATAATCAGACCTTATCGCAGTGTCTCTCTTCTGCGCCCGAGTTGCCCCTCCCGAACGCGATGCAATGGCAAGACGCTCGCCTCTCCGAGGGGCATCACCTGGCCACAAACGCGTTGCACACGCGTGTTTCTTATGTAAGCACTACTATGACCTTCTGTTGCCCCGAGTTGTACCAGAATCAAGAAGATTGGTCAATGAATTTGCACAAGATGCCTCGTGGCCAATTCTCGCTGGTTTTGGTCCGCCTCGGGCCTGGAAGACCACTCTGTATGTTATCTATCCGGCATTCGCCATCTTCGAGAGTACATACCCTTCATCGCAGACGTTGCTCTCCTGCATGATTATCCTTAACCTCAGGACAGATTATAATCCTCGATGAAATCCATCTCGGGGTCTCGGAAGCCCTACAGAGGGCTCACACGAAGTCTTGTTCTCGCGCTTGATATCGGGACAACGTTCAGCGGCGTTTCGTATGCGATCCTCGAGCCAGGAGAGGTTCCACAGATCCACGGAGTAACTCGGTAAGTGTTTGAGTATCGGAACGACCTCGCTTACCATTGCGCAGATTCCCGGGGCAAGAGCATGTTGCAGGGAATTCCAAGATCCCCTCGATCATGTACTACGATTGGGAAGGAAAGTTGAGGGCGGCAGGTGCGCAAGCGGATAATGCTTCTGTCGTTGCACAAGCAGAAGATGAAGACTGGATCAAGACCGAACTGTGAGCTTATCTCGCGCGCCACAGTAGCCTCTCTGAGCCACTTTCATTTAGCTTCAAGTTACGCCTGCGGCCACGCACTATGAAGCTCAAGCTGAACGGGATGCGATTTGCACCGCTCCCACCGGGCAAGACTGCCGTGGATGTCTTTGGCGACTTCCTGGCCTACCTATTCCGCTGTACGCGCGAATTCATTGTCGACACGCACGCAAACGGACACGCACTATGGCTCGCCGTCGAGCAAGATATTCAGTTCATACTCAGCCACCCCAACGGCTGGGAGGGGGCACAGCAGACCAAGATGCGCAGGGCAGCTGTATACGGCGGCCTTATCCCTGATACGGATGAGGGCAAGGCGAGGATTAGATTTGTCACCGAGGGAGAGGCAAGCTTGCATGCATGTGTGCTGAATGGTCTTGCCGCCGATGTGTTGCAGGTAAAATGGAGCTTGACTAATGCATAATTGTGCTCATAGTGATTTTGCAGAATCCATCTGGTCGTGGCTTCATAGTTGCAGACGCCGGAGGCGGTACACTTGACATCAGTTCGTACGCAATACGTGGAACATCCCCTCTTGTGATTGAGGAAATTGCTCCTCCAGATTGTGAGTCTCAATTTTTACAAGGCGATCATCATCGTGTGGTATTGATATGGGCTCTTTTCAGGCGTGTTCTCTGGGTCCGTGTTTGTCGGTCGACGTGCAAGGGCCTTGTTTGAAGGCACGTTAGGACTTTCATCCCCAACATAGCTCACCAACGATGATGAATGGGTACTTTAGAGAAGCTGAGGGATTCTAAATATGGCACGCCAGACTCGTTAGACCACATGACGAAGCGGTTCGACGAGACAACCAAGCGGCTCTTCAGGGACGACAAAGAAATGCAGTTTGTTCCTTTTGGCTCACCGCTGGACAAAGATATGTCCGTGGGCATTCGTGGCGGCCAGCTGAAGTTGACCGGGTCAGTTTTTCGTGCGTTCAAGTTGAGGATTGTGCTCAATTTCCATCTTACAGAGCTGAGGTCGCAGCTCTCTTTGAGCCATCGATACAGGCAGCAATTGATTCTATCAGAGCACAGATCGATGCGTCCGGTGGAACAATCAAGGTGCGACTAAATATGATCTTTTCATGTGCATGGCAAACCATGGATTCTGTCTAGTCCGTCTGGCTAGTTGGAGGGTTCGCAGCAAGCCCGTGGTTATTCAGCCAACTACAGGAGAGGCTGGCTCCGTTCCACGTTACTGTCAGCAGACCAGATAACCAGACGTAAGTTCTATATTCATGAACAGCTTGTTTGTGACGATTGAGCCCTAGCTCAGCTCTAAAGCAGTGGCGGATGGCGCGATCGGTTTCTATTGCGACCATCATGTGTCTGCGCGCATATCCAAGTTCATATACGGGGTGGAATATCTTCGCGAATTCAATGCGAACGACCAAGAACACATTTCCCGGCAGCATCGTCTGTTTGAGATGCCATCTGGTCCGAGGCTTCTACCGGATGCTTTTGATTGCATCCTGGAGAGAGTTAGTACCCCTTCATAGGCAGTATTATAGACAAAAGGTTGATTGTATGTGGCGTAATGCAGGGTCAGAAAGTAAGAGAGTCCTCGGTGTTCAGCCGCAAGTACTGCACCGAGGTGACAAAGCTCTCGACACTCTCTGTCTTCGAGGTCGAGATCTGGTGTTTCAGAGGTGGGAACACGATTCCGAAGTGGATCCTTCGCAACACTGGTGAGTGGGAGCTTTACTGTAGCCGCCAAGACTCTCATGACGTATTGGTCTTGCAGAGGACTTTTCTACACTATGTCATGTGCGAGCGGATCTTTCGCCGCTAGCTTCGAGCGCGCACGGGGAACAGGGCAAGAACGGGAAGATGTACTGGACCATCGTTTTCTATATCGAGATCCACTTTGGATTGACGGAATTCAGGGCCAGAATCAAATGGACAGACAATGTGAGTCACAATCTTACTTTTGAATGAGCGCTACTGATGTGCGTTAACGAGGTGTAGCAAGGTCGAATGAAGTAGTGAGTAGCTTCCATCGCGTAATTTGTTATTCATCAGATGTTAATGTTTGATTCGGCGTTCTGCAGCGGACCAGCAACGATCGTTTATAACGAAAGCGGCCATCGTGCGGCTGAAGACGTGCCTGATGAGTCGCCGGAGGACAACATGACCGTGGTGTCCACGCAATCAGAAGTAGGGTCTTCTCACCAAACGTCGAAAGCACCTTCGCGAAAGTCTGTCACATCAAGTTCCAGGAGCGTGCACTCCCAACAACCGCAACAGAGATCTCTTAGCGTAGAGACAACGGGACCCGAGGCTTCTCGCTCAACGTCTGTGAGAAGCACTACCCGATCTCATGTCCGATCTTCGAGTGCGAGCGTTAAAGGCAAGGAGCCAGAGATAGTGCTGGACACAGCGAAATCTCGCGATCGTTCGTCCATCACGTCCTCCCGCTCAATGGGCTCCGCAAGGAGCGGAGGCGCACGTCTCGGCGAGGCGCTCACGTCCAATTGGGGTGCGGCGGCACAGACTCCTGCTGCTTCTACGCACCATACTCCCGCTGGATCGAAGAGAGCTAGTCTAGCGAATGTCAAGGAGCAGATAGCAGCGGTGATGTCGTCGATACCGGAGAGCGTCGCAACGCCGAAGGACAGGTCGAAAGGCACTACTCCTCCAGAGGCTTCGAAGGCGGCAACGCCGAGAGAAGTGGAAAAGGCTTCAGTTCCGGAGGAAGCGGCAGCCACAGCTGTAGCGGCACCCAGGGATGCTTCGAAGACACCCATACGGAGAGACGCTTCTAAAGGATCTGCACCTCAGGGAGTTTCAAAGGCACCTTCTCCGAAGGGAGCGTCCAAAGCAGCTACACCGAAAGACATGATTGCGCCTCCTACTCCAAAGGACGGGTCGAAGACTTCGACACCGAGCGCAGTGTCCAAAGCTGTAACGCCTGAGGAAGGCTCGAAGGCGGCCACTCATAAGGAGGATTCGAAAGCTGACACACCTCAAGAAGCTTCAGAGGTTGCTATTACTGAGGAAGTTTCGAAAGCTGCTACTGCCGAGGAGGCTTCGAAGCCTCCGACACCCAAGGAAACCTCGAAGGCTGCAACGCCAAAGAAATCACCCAGTCCAAAGGCGGCCACGCCAAAGTGGACTTCTCAAATCGCGATGCCGACGGCGCAGCCCGAGGTACTTCCTGAAGAGCAAGTCGAAGCACCTCCCGCTACCAAGAAGGCTCGTAAGGCTCGACGGAAGGCTCCAGCTCGCGAGGACAGTGATGCTGTCATTCCTCCTCGCTTTGATCCTGTAGAGCCTGCAGGAAGTGAGCCTGTCCCTGTTTCCGAGCCTGGTGAAATGTCTGGCCCTGCTCCTTCTGCGGATGCTATCGACTTGCCAACACCAGAGCCTGTACCAGTAGCCGACGCTCCGGCATCGCAGCCAGCCGAGGCTGTAGCAGCTCCCGAGGCATCTGCTGTTGAACCGTCCGAGCCCGCTCCTACTACTGAGCTCCCTGCTACTGAGCCTGCAGCTCCTGCAGCTCCCACATCTGACGAGACTGCTGTTGCTGCGGACTTCTCATATCCCACCCAAACAGCAGAAGACAAAGTAGCATCCGGTTCTGCTGCACTTGCCAATCCTGATGATGTTTGGCAAGGGGGAGACACCGGCGAAGGATGGGGCGCGGATAATGCGGATAATGCTGACGATAACTGGGCGGGAGATGCTGCGGGAGAGTACAATGATGAGTGGGTAGGCGATGAAACAGGGAATCCTGGAGGATGGGAAGGTGGCGGGACGGGTGACTCAGGAGAAGGGTGGGGAGGAGGTAATGAAGCAGACTCTGGAGAAGCACGGCCCGCAGAAACTTCAGAACAAACCGACACATCTACAGATCCTGCCGTCCAGATTGTTGAGACCGGGTGGAGCTCCAGTCTGCTTGATAAACCACCTAATACCCGGAAGATCCCTCCGGACGACCTGGCCGACCTCTTAGCGTCCCCAAGGACCGGAAGCAAGAAGTCCGAAGCGAATGGGTTCACTACCTTGCTCTGGGGCGGAGAAACACCCACATTCGGTGGCACAGGATCGACATTTAGCCACCCAATGTCGACATTTAGTCTCCCAACGGCGACGTTTAGCAGCAGTGGCGGTCATGGTAGCGTCCTCAACTTTAGCTCCGGCCCCCTTTCCGATGGTGCAATAGGTACTGCAAATACAAACGATGAGCCGTTAGAACTTATTGCCAAAGCTGCCGACAGTCAAAATGTCATGGAAGGACAGGAGCAAGCTGAAGAAGAGGCGAAGATGGAGAAGACCGCAACGAACAACGAGGAAGGAGCGGAGACCAGTCAGAAAGCTGCAGAGGCGGCGCAGTTTGCGACTGAGACAACTACAGTAGAGGCTGCCTTAATGTCCGAGTCCAAGGTGGAAGGCGACGGCGCAGACGGTGACCAGGCTGAAGGCGACACAGCAGAGGATATTAACACGAAGAATGAGGTCGCGGATGCTGCTGAAGCCGAGAAGAATGAAGCTGCGGGAGACAAGACAGATAACGTCGATCCGACGGAGAGCAAGGACGAGGGCGAGAAAGTAGAGGCAGCCGCGACCGCAGAAGTATCAGCAGCGCAGGAAACTGATGGCCAAGAGTCTAACGAAGCGACTGCTGATACGACGGCAAACGGTGGGAGAGCTGCAGAGGAGGGGGCAAACGAGGAGGATGAGACCACCAAGGAAACTGAAGCAGATGCGAAGGGTGCAGGGGGCAAGAACAAGAAGCAGCAGCAACAGCCAAAGAACGCTAAGAAAGGCGGGAAGAAAAAGAAAGGTAGATGAAGTCAGAGAGAGGAGCAACCCCAGCCACTGGCGGCGAACAGGAGGGGATGAGTGACGCTGTCGAGTTGTTAATTGTGCTTTCTGATGTGCCTTTATTTCGCTACCAGATCGCTCTACGGTCGTGCTATTTTGCTCTATCAATGATTCATCCGCCACTGCCACTGTAATGGTTGTATTCATCCTCCTACTTGAGATTGAGCCGTCGGCCTTGCTCAGATGGCGTGTCAGTCCACATGCTTTTGTGCTGCAAACCATTCCATTGACCTGCCGCTAGCTTCTGGAATAGGTTGAGCTTACTCAAAGCATGGGAAAACACATGTAGGACGCCTTATGGTTTTAGTGGACTCTGGCTCTCAAAAATCGATTGTAGGTCAAAGCTTGCGTGATGGCCGATTACTTGGAATGGATTTTCACCTTTCGAAAGCCTATATCAATTTTTAAAGGCGTGGAGTTCAGACAGGAATCTGGTTGTGAATACGGTTCAAAGTAGCCTTGATGGATCATCACCGGACTAGCAGCTAAAATATGAGGCTGCGCTATCGTTGGTGCTCAGAACCTGCACAGCTGCAACAGCGGTGAAAGATGGCGATTGCCATGTAATACGCATTGCTTTGCGCCGAACTACCAGACGGGGCTCTCGAGGTCGTCTGACATCAATGCTCCGTCATCGATCCCGGCGGCCGCGAATTCCCTCGGTCGAAGCGCACTACCTTCATCCAGAAACATATCTCACGTGCACCAAGAACCGCATTCCCAACCGTTCGGTAACTGGGGCTCGGCGGCCTCGCTGGGAACTATCTTAATAAACATCATTTGGATATTCGTACGCAAGCTGACCACCGCACGCGATGATCTCAGAGCATGGGGTCCCGGAGATATCTGTAGGGTTATAAACTTACGGCAAGAGTAGCGAATCCAGTTGACTAAGAGCTTTGCACCCCACCCACATTCCAGCGTACTATCGCAGAATGTTCAACTCATCCGTGATTCGCCGTACGCCCCTTGTCTTCAAACGCTCGCTGTCCATCATCAATGCCCGACCAGCCCTCAAGACGGCTCCTGCAACGCTGACCTGGCCGCCGCTTGCTCCCCTGCGCGGCTCTACCCTCGCCGCACAGCTAATTGTCCGAGGTGCTGCGAGCTCGGTCTCTGGCAGACCAGGCTCGCAAACATTCAAAGAGGCCGCACAAAACATCCGCGAGGAGGTCGGAAACTCGACCACCGATTTCGCCAAGGTCATCGCGGGCGCAAACTGGTTCCAGGATGCGACCCTCTCAGATCCGAAGCGCAATACCTTCGTAAGTGCCACCGTCCGCCGTCTATCAAACATGAATCCAAATTGTGACGCACGCAGCTCGGTATTACGAATGCCGTCGCGCATTCAGTTCCTACTCCCTACATTGCGACCGGACTTGCAGGGGGTCTCCCGTACGTTGGAACGGCACTGGCGACGATCTACATGGCTCAGCAGGCGGGTATGGCCATGATGGGTGTGTATTGATCGATGTGATGCAGGGGACTTAGCGTACTCACCGTTACGTCCAGATGCTACCTCGAGCATCGATCCTGGCGTGGCTATTACCATGCTCGATCAGGCTCTCAACATCCAGATGACATACGGCGCGGTCATGCTCTCCTTCCTTGGTGCGCTGCACTGGGGCTTTGAGTTTGCTGGCTATGGTGGCACCAAAGGGTGACAGATCATCAACTGTAAAGGCATTAACCACATCGTTGACACGTCGCTCTGTAGGTACCCCCGCCTCTTGCTCGGCGCAGCTCCCGTCGTCCTCGGCTGGTCGACGCTCGCCATGGAGCCCATGACGGCACTCATCATGCAATGGATCGGTTTTACCGGCATGTGGTGGGCCGACTGGAAAGCGACGAGCGCGGGGTGGAGTGCGTGCTTCCGAAAAACTCTCGATTCCGAGAGTGCGCTGACGCGAACGGATTGTCCATAGCGCCCATGTGGTACTCTCAGTACCGGTTCTATTTGTCCATCCTCACAGGGACGTGCATCATTGGGACCCTCGCCGCGACAAGCTATTGGGGCCCAGTCGGGGGCCACGGCCTGGTCAGCCACGATTTGAACATGGTACCTCGGGCAATTTGAAACATGGCGTACGATCACTAACGTGCTATGCTTGATATGGCAGATCCGCGGGCTGCGCGAGAAGAAGCAGATCGAGAGCCAGGGGGTTATCAATGGAGATGTGGAGGCCGTGCTTGCGCCAGAAGACTCAGGCTCGTACGTGCTGGTGCGGAAGAAGCATGCGCAGCCCATGGGAGAAGTGCAGGGTGCAGGGCAGTGAGCTTCGTGTCGGGAGCCGAGGGCGAAGAGGAATGTTGCATGGATTCGCAGATCTTCGAGGGGATTCGGGAAACAGTCGTGTGACGAAATTCGCGTCATTGTATGAATAATGCTTCGCTCGTGTATTTGTATTGTAGTCCACGCGACTAGGTCATCGTGTACCCTATATACACATCTGGAAAGGGGTTGAGACGGTCCAGGGGCGGACTTTGCGGGACCCGCGTACTATGTGGCGCTGATGAGCGAGCCCAGTCACGGAGTAGAGACCTGCGTCCGTCACGATACATCGCGCAACAGGTGTAGTTGAACTAACACGACCTCTCGATCGAGGAATCGATCGGGGCAGAGAGTTTAGCTGTGTCCTGGCAACGAGCCGCGGGTTCAGACAGCAATGGACGAAAAACGTTTGCATCGAGGCTAGTAGCTAGAGGGCTCGCACAAACATTCAGCTCAGCACATGCGAAGAACAAAGTCACCGGTCAAAACTCACAGGCCTCAGTCGGATAAAGGAGGTAGGGGGCACAAGGCGTAAAACATAAGACGCACGACGACAGCTATTCCAAAGAACTAGAGTCTTACTAGCTAGTGGCCATGATCGCGTTGAAACGTTGATGAAGGTTGACAACTTTGTATGGGAGATCCAACAGTGTAACTTTTTTCGCTCCACTTCCCAAATTTCCTGAGAAAGATGTCCGAAACAATTACACTGAGATCTATTGCATTCCGAGCTATGATGCATGATGCGTACTACGATACAGGAGAGAACTTGTCGCCGAATCATGAAACTCCGTTTGACGTGAATGAGCGTCAACAGAGCGATTAAGTAGGCTGTTTCGCTCGTAACCACCACATACAGTGAATAGCATAGAACCGTACCTCATCGTCGAGCGAACGCCGACAGGAGAGACGACAATGCGGTAGTGGTCGCAATGGTAAAGCACGCGCTGGAAAATGCGAGCAATTTATTTTGCCTCCGTGGGAACGGTCACGTTGCACGCGTTAGACGCGTCGCGGTCGCGTTTTCGGTGCCTCGCGTGCTTGCCGCCGAATACGTCGAAACCCGAGGCAAAGCACCTAAGTTAATTCCTGCGCAGCAAGTGGTGGTGGGCTGCCACGCAGCTCAGGCTCTTTCTCTTTTCGACCACCTCGGCGACAGAATGGGACAGCTCAACTGGCTGGTGGACTGGGTATGGACCCGCATCAGAGGATACCCGCCTTCATCTCTGGCGAGCATGCGCCTGGGCAATGAAGGACGTTCGCAAAATGCGCTCATGGCACGTCAAATTGGTGCATATATCATGAAGAGGACGATTGACATGCAGCCGTTGATTTAGGTACAATTCTTCACGTGGAACTGCAGACATCCCACCTTGAGCTGGTGGAAGCATTTCGAGTCTGAGGTGCCACAGCTGGCAGAAATGGGGGTGACACAGGTGTGGCTTCCTCCGCCGAACAAAGCTATGACCAAGGTCATCAGAGCTTCTATCCTTCAGCTCCACGAGCGCGCTAATCGGCGTTTCACGTAGCACGGCCAAGGCTACGATGCGTATGATCTGGTGAGGCTATCACACGAGACTGTATCAACTCGTGCTTACAAGGACTGTCAGTGGGACCTGGGCGAATTTTCACAGAAGGGCAATATTGCCACAAGATGGGGAACGAAGGACGAGCTCATACAGGCCATTGCAACGGCCAAGGCCCATGGCATCGACGTCCTGATCGATGCCGTGCTGAACGTATGCTGAGTTCTATCTTCGGACCTATCTGTTCTGACAACGTCATTTTATTTTGAAGCACAAACTTGGAGCCGACAGGACAGAAGTCTTTCATGCAGTGCCCGTTGACCCGAAAAACCGTTTGAGAGATCTGACAGTACCTCGAGAGATCGAGGTGGGCCTGCAATTGTGGACGGTCTGATCGGTCATCTTATGACCATGTAGGGCTGGACAGCATTCGACTTTTCGGGAAGGGACGGAAAGGTGGTTGAGACTGGGGATTGCTCATCTCGATGTCTATATCTCACATCCTGATAGTACAGCAGTCTCAAGTGGACACAAGAGCACTTCACTGGTACGCTTTATGAACGAAATTGAGTGTCGTTGCAGAATCTTAACATCACCCAGGTCTTGATTGGGACAATCGAGCGCGTCTGAACGGCGTATATCGCATCGTAGGCGGGCAACATCAGGGCTGGTCTCGGTTCGTCGATGGGGAATTCGCCAATTATGACTATCTGCTTGGGGTCGATGTGTGTCCACTGCTGCATTTCATTATTGTTGAGGCTAATGTGCACGTCAGATTGACCACAGGCATCCCGAAGTAAGACAGGACCTCCTTGCGTGGGGCAAGTGGGTGCTTGAGGTACCGGTTTCTTAACGTCTCCGAGGACGAATCATAATGATTTTGTACTAGACTACGGGAGCAGTTGGCTTTCGACTTGATGCAATCAAACACATGGATCGTTTCTTCCTGGTTGACTTCGTGAGTTTGTCTATTCGTGTCCTCGTTCATGAAAATTGACATCGCATAGCTCAAATATGTACGCGAAGCCACGGGAAGAGGGGATCTTTTCTCAGTAGCGGAGTACTGGTCTGGGGAGTAAGTAAGACATTCGATCAACCTTCACCGATCGATGCTAAACGTCGTTTAGCGTCAGGAACATCAGACCATATATCTACGCGTTTCAGGGCCTGGTGAGCTCTTCTGCAAAACGTCCATATACATTTGCTGAACGCAAACAGGTTTCGTTCTTTGACGTTCCATTGCATTACAACTTTCATAAAGCAAGCAAGTGGGGCCCATTTTACGACCTCAGAACCGTCTTGAACAACACAATACTGCAGTTCAGACCGGGCGATGCTGTGACATTTGTGGACAACCATGAGTGCGTCCTGTTTCACTTCTTCCATGCATATAGTTGATGGAATGCGTGATGTAGCACGGTAAATCGTACACTTTTGTGGGCCTCCGACGATGCTGATATTCTCTCGAAGCAAATAGGACAGACGCTTGAGAGTTGGGTGCGTCCTGCGTTCTACGTGACGCGTTACCGGCATCCAACTCGTCGTACATTGCCAGGTCGGAAGGAACTTCAAGCTACAAGCATATGCCCTTATCTTGCTCCGGGGCGAGGGCCATCCGTAAGTGCCAATTACACCTCACACGCACAGGCGGAACCCTTCACAGGCCATGTCAAGGTGCGTCTTCTACGGGGACATATATCCCAACGATGAGTGCTACGACGAGTACATCGCGCAAGGCGTGCGGCGCTTAATGAACGCACGGAAGCGGTTCGCGTACGGCGAGCGCATCGACTATTTCCAGAACCGCAATTGTATCGGATTCGTGCGTACCGGCGACGACGCGCATGAAGGGTGCGCGGTGATCGTGAGCAATGCCGTCGAATCAGCTGGGTAAGGAGGTGGTCCGTTCAAGTGCTATTGGAGCTAATCCCTGCTCGGCAGGACGAAGGGCATACAGCATATGGTGCGGATGAACGTCGGTGCAGTGAGTCGCCTATCGTGTTGCCGGCGCTTTCTCTCTGATTCGATCTCAGGGCATCGGCGGATCGTCTTTCACCTCGTCGATGGATCCCGAATTGCCCGAATACGTGGACATCGCCCCGGATGGGTGGGGCGTCTTCACTTGCCCTCCGGGTAAGGTGCAGGTTTGGGTGAAGAGCGATACCTCGCCGGCTCGAAGAGCTGCGCTTTGAGTACCGGATAGTTTTGACCCTTCCGTGTATACCAGTGTGACAGCGTATATGTATCATATCGTGTAAGGAACAGATACTTTTCTTGCATGCCGCGGGCTGTTCAAGCAAGGATGCCGACAGCATCTTTGCTTATTCTCCCGCAGTAACTCACGGAGAGGGGAGATCACATCGACTTGAATCCCACTTTTGAGGGTCAATCACTCATCAGGTTGGCCCAACATCTTGCTGTACACTGTTTGCTGACGATATGTCACAATAAGTCGCACCGTGACTGCTTTATGACTAGAACCGCATCAGGACACCTACGGAACCGAGAGCGCGTATCTCAAAATAGCAAATCCGATATATGACAATCAAGCTCCGTCAGACGAGATGAATCATCTCTCCTCAGTAAAATAAAATAAAACCCTCTCGCCCAAGGCAAACCGTCGGGTCTTCCAACATCCAGTCACGTGGGCGCGTCTCACAAATTACTCTCGATCAAGATCAATAATCATCAATCCTGCATCGCAAAAGCTCATCAAGCACCGGTTGACTCAGCACACCCTCTCCGGCGCCCCGTCCGCCTAGAAATACCTCATTACATCGCTCAGAGGCTCATCAACACAATCCACAAGAAAACCTGACTGCAATGGCGTCCGAATCGATGGAGGAAGAGCAGCTCGAGGAGGGCATGGAGGAGGGATTCATCGACCCGAACGAAGTCTTCATCGAGCTCGGGGACGACGGCGACCAGCTGATGGATGAAGATGACGAAGGCGAGGCGGACGGCGCGCCGGCGGACGAGTCCATCGTGTACGAGGACAACTCGATGCAGCACTTCTCTGGGCACACCGGGTCCGTGTTCGCAGTTTCCACGCACCCCGTCGCACCGCTGGCCGCATCGGGCGGGGAGGACGACCTCGGATACATCTGGGACTACACGACGGGCGAGGAGATCGTGAAGCTGACGGGGCACGCGGACAGCGTGACGAGCACGGGGTTCAGTGCGGACGGCGAGATGATCGCGACCGGTGGCATGGACGGGCGCGTGCGCGTGTGGAGAAGGGTGGGGAAGGAGAATTGGAGGACGTGGGAGTTCTTGACGGAGGTGCAGGGCCCGGATGAGGTTATGGTGCGTGGTTGTGCGGTGTGTGGAAGAAACGGTAATGATGGGTTGGCTGACATGCTCGTAGTGGCTCAGATGGCATCCCAAAGGAAACGTACTCCTCGCCGGCTCTAATGACTCAACAGTATGGCTATGGCAACGTACGTTGTTAACTATTCTCTCTGTTAAGATCCCCTCAGCTCGGATACAAATGTCCCTGCAGTACCGTCAGGCAACACCATGCAAGTCTTCGCAGGCCACACAGCGCCTGTGCAGTGTGGCGACTTCACACCCGACGGCAAGCGAATCATCACTGCCGACGCCGAAGGCACGCTCATCTTCTGGGATCCACGCAACCCCACGCCGGTGTTCAAGCTCTCGCCCTCCGACGCGCGGTTCGACATGGACGGCATCACATCGCTCGCGGTGAACCCCGCGAGTACGCTCGCCGTCGTTGGCGGTACCACGGGCAGCGTGCGCGTCGTGAGCCTGAGTAGGGGTGACGTGGTTGGCGCTCTTGGCGGACACAAAGAGGGTGAGAGCGTAGAGGCAGTCGCGTTTGTGGACGTTGCGGGCCCGACGGGCACAACGACGGCGAGCGGGGTGGTCGTTACTGGCGCGACCGATGGGAAGGCGTGCATATGGGATCTGGGCACGATGCGCTTGCGGGCGACGCTAGAGCATGAGGTGGGTTATGCGTGCGTTCGCTTGTCTCCTATTACTACCTCCATGGGGTCTGCCGCAAGTTTCTACCATCAAATGATCAAACCTCTTCCGGTATTGCCGCGGATCAGAACGCTAATTATTTGTCATTTTGGTTTAGGACGCGGTCACCTCGCTGCTCCGCCTACCTCCGCCAAAAGCACACATGATCGTGTCTGCCTCGGCGGACAAGACATTGCGGACTTGGGATGCGCGTACCGGCACACTTGTCCGCGAGCACAAAGGCCATCGTGGGCCCATCCTGCAGGCTGCACTCGGGCTTGGGGGAGGAGTGGTCGTCAGTGCGGGTGACGATGGCGTGTGTCTGGTGTTTCCGACGGAATAGGCGCGAAGACCGTGCGATATCTCAAAATGAAATGTAATTTTGGATGATACGAGCTGTAGCGATAATCATATACCACGAGGCGAAACTAATGTGCGCGGCTCTACGTCACTCTATCATGTCTCCTCTTACACAGCATGCATACCAATAACGATTGCTGCATAGAGTGGCCACAAAGTGTTCGATGTCCCAGGGAGAAGTTGCGTGCGTCCTTGGCAGACGTCATGGAACTGCGCAGCCACGAAGATGGACATGGCCGATCATGGAAGTGCAAAGCATGAATTATTCGATGGCAGAACTTCAGGAGTAGCTAGCGCCACGAACAGCTGTGGCCCAGGGCATCGTAAACGCATCTTCCGGGTTTAGGAGGAGATCTAGATCTCCTAAAAGGGTGAAGAGCCTGGCGCCTGCAAAGAGCCCTGAGAGACGCCCCGTGCGGGACGTCGATGCAGAGGCTTGCGAGGCTCGCCGGGCAGTCGCGGCGGCGACGGCGGGGGACGCAGCGGCAGATCGCCAAGCGGTCGCGAAAATCGGACGAGCGTCGGGGGCATCCACGAACTCCTGTCAGACGACCGGCCATCCCTGACTTCACACGGCACAAAGTCTGCCCAGAGAACGCCGCCCGTCAGAATGCCGTTGGGCGCGAGTCCGCACTGGCGATCAGGGAGCCGCAGACATGCAGACGCTGCGGAGGACGAGGAGGGGGGAGGACCTCGAAAACAGCGACGGGTGTGCCTCGATCGGACGTGCGAACAAACAAACAAACCGGCTCGCCCCGGCCATTTAAGCTGCTCTTTGCAACCTATCAACTCGGTTTTAGCTCTTCCGCCTCCCACAAGCTCGCCCTTGCCCCCTTCGACGCCCGCCGCTGTCGTTTACGTTCACCATGAAGGTTGTCGCTCTCTTTTCTGCTGCCGCCCTCGTTGCGTCCGCCGCAGCCCTGACCATCAACACGCCGTACGTTTTTAGACCGGTTCTTAGGCTGAGTATCCTTGTCCTTATACCCATTTGCACCTAGTTCGGACGTGAACGAGTGCGAGCCTTCTGCGTTCTCGTGGACTGGTGGAACCGGTGAGTCTTTTCGTTGCCTGCTTCCAATATACATGTCTAATCTCCTTTCCGCGTTTAGAGCCTTACTACCTCGTACGTACGGCCGTTTTTCGATATTCCGTTGTACTCATCAAGTTGTGTTGCGTGTGCGGTTTCGCAGGCGTGAGTATTTTTGCACACCTTTTTCATCGAGGCGCGACATTGACGTTACATTTTCAGCATCAACTATGGCACGGACCCTGACGGTACCGCGATCCAGTCGTACGGTCCGCTCACTGGTACCTCCTTTACCTGGTCCACCAACATCTCGTCCAGTACGTGCGAATTATGATAAAGAGTGTTTGGCGCTGTTCATTAAATGCGTTGCTAGATACCGAACTCGTTCTCACGCTTAAAGACAGCACTGGTACCACCGCCCAGTCCGGTGACTTCACCGTTGGCACGGGCAGTATGTATTTCTGCTTCATTACAGTTCTCATTCTCATTCATAACAATGTTACAGCAACCAGTTGCTTGACCGCGAGCGGTTCAAGTGCGGCTGCAAGCTCTACCTCCGCGGCTAGTTCGTCTGCTGCTGCTTCTAGTAGTGCAGCTGCATCTAGCTCTGCGAGTGGATCTTCGGCCAGTTCGGCTGCTTCGGCTGCATCGACCAGCTCGGCCTCCAGCGCGGCCTCCAGCGCCTCCGGCGCGTCTGCTGCTGCTTCTTCTTCGGCAAGCGGCACGTCGACTGGTGCTGCTAGTTCATCCACGACCTCGGCGAGCACGAGTGGCGCGCTCAACAAGATCGCCCATGTGGGCCTGGCAGCTGCTGTCGGTGCTGCGGTCGGCTTCGTCCTCGCTTAAGCATCTGGAAGGCATGGCAAAAGGGCAGGCGCGATTATCTGATGCTCGTTCCCTCCATCGGATCTTGCGGACAAGACGGATCCTCACCTTCGCCCCGTTCATCTCATCGCCTCCATTATTTTTGACGTCGTGATACCATACACTCGCGGCTGAGCTTCGCACAGTATTTCTTTCTGAACAAGACATTCGTATTAATACTCCTTCCCTTGCGACCATTTTTCGGTCCTTTGGACTTGCCACCTTCTAGCGTTGTGCGACTGACTACTGTCTTTTGGGTGCGATACCTTCGTTGTTGTTGCAGATGTGCTCATTGTGTGTAGGCCGCATGGCGGCGAGCTCCATCACAGACAGCGGGTTCGGTTTCTTCGTTGTATTGTGGCCGCGGGTTTATACCATACCAGCCAGACGATATACGTTCTTCATGACCCGAATGACTCGCATTGAACTTATCTTGTAATTGGTGAGTCGTGAGAGGCAAGGAGGTGAAGCAGGATCTCATCAATGCTCTTTTTTGTGTGCCGTCTATAACTCGAGCTTCAAAGGTTCGTACTGTACGTAGGTAGTCTTCCATGGCCTTTCAGTTCAGTTGAATCAATCGTCTGTCGCCAACGGCCTGCTAGGATTTCACAGAGGCGGCCACCCGAGAGATGGCTGATGGGCGCGGTCACGTGCTGAGAGCAAGCTTCCAAAAAGGGTTCCCTCTGGATCGCATATGCGAAGTCGATTTCGTCACTAATTAGATGCCCTATCACCGTCCGCAAGATATCTGCTCCTGCACTAGATTCGAGCTCGCGAGTTCCATCGACGAATAACGATTCCGAAACACGTTTGACGACTTGGAAAGACTGCGTAGTGTTCAGATTCTCAGAGGATCGACGTTCTTATACTCTTCTATTGCTATGAGACATGCATCGCCGTCCTCATCCCCACATCGACGTTACACCCAGTGCTGTACCTCCCGTAAATTCATCTCCTGACTCCTCCTGGTTGAACTATCTGTCGTCGACTCCGGGGAACCCTGCCTGGGCCGACAATAGCCAACGTGGGCACTCTCCGCTGCCTAGAATTAGCCTTGATGTTCCCTCACGGCCCACCAGCCGTGCTTCCAGTTCGCCTGGACAGGACGTTCCCAGGCCTCACGTCGATTCTTCACTCTACCGCTCTACCTCGCAGCGCGGCTCGAGCTCCCTGCGTCCTCTCACTACAACAGCCCATCGCGCCACCAAGAGCGACCTGATGGTCCATTCTGTGCATCACGATGGCGAGTCGCGCCCGCTATCCTTCGTCTCGATCACGAGCAGCCCTAGCGTATGTGCCGCTCTTTGCTCACCCGTACTGCCGTTCGTGATGCAGACCTGCGTAGATTTCCGCGAGCGAACTCTCCGACGAGCTGTCCAGCTACACGTGTGTGCTCCTCCTCGCTGTGCGATGCAGACCGTGGCGTTGATCCCGCATTCGTTTTCGTTTCGATTACCGTAGTCTCGAGTCCGAAGAGGGCCTGCGCCGCTTTCAGGCGAACGACCTCCCCGACGCAGATCAGGAATGGCATCGGCTCGTACCCGCTGCGGCGCGTGATGTGCTTGACCGGGATGAGGTCCAGCGACAGTCGATCCTGTTCGAGATCATCAAGAGCGAGCGAGACTATGTCTCAGATCTTGTGCTTGTCAAGGAGGTGTGTGCTCGCAATTTGAGTGATTTACCTGTCGTTTTTGGTGTAACTGTAAGCGATTGACAGGTCTTTGTCGATCCGTTGCGGAACACCGTGCCAATGCCGCGGAAGCGTTTGCCTGGGTTTATCCAGGAGGTCTTTTACAACCTCGACGAGGTACGGGACCACCACCAGCGCATGCTCGGCGCTCTGTTTGCTCGGCAGCGAGAACAGCATCCGCTGTTGCAGAGCATAGCGGATATTATCACAGAATGTCAGTTGCCTATTGCATTTAGACGCATTTCGTAGGTAACAGTGTGCCATTCTGCAGCCGCGTTCCTCTTCAACACCGCGTACGAGAAGTACATCAAGCACTACCCGATAGCAGAGAAGCACCACCGAAGCGAAATGCAGTCCAATACGAAGTATCAGTATTTCATCCAGCAGTGCACGCTCGATCCGCGCGTGCGGAAGCGCGACCTCGTCACCTTCCTCTCGCGACCGGTCACACGCCTGCCACGGCTGCGCCTGCTGGTCGAGACAGCACTGTTGCACACGGAGTCGAACCATCCAGATGTGCAGGCGCTGGCGATCATCAGGGACATACTTGGACAGGTGATCTCGAGCACGCAGCCGGGGATCGACGATGCAGAGAGGCGAGTGAAGTTCTGGGAGCTGTGTGAAAGCCTGGAGTACCAAAGGGAAGAGATTCTGGTGAGCGGTGTCGGACTTAAGGTCGGCTGGTACTAACGTTGGATGGACAGGACTTGGATCTATATGATAAGATGAGGGCGCTGGTGCATTCTGGCCCACTCTCGCGCCGGTATCGATCGGAGATGGGTACCAGCTGGGCTGACCTGCACGTTGCACTGCTAGACAATTATCGTTAGTTTCTCCGACGCCACTTTGGCTTGTCATCCCACTGACGAATGTTTCAGTGCTGATCCTAATGCCTGAGCAACGACGATCGGGCGCTGTCGTCAAGCGCCAAATAGTTTCTCGTGTCAGTGTCCTGCGTATTCGTCATCTGTTGCGTTACTCTGACGTCTGCATCAGCCAATACCTCTCGAATACCTCCGTCTGGGCTCTTTCACCGACTCTCCAGAGATCCGGAAAGAGAAGGCAGAGGAGGGCGGACTGTTTGAGAGTTTTCGCAGGACGCACCGTCCCGTATACCCGATGACGATCTATCATGCCGCGGCAAAGTCGCAGAGGCGCTATACCCTGTATGCCGATGACGAGCGAACGCGGAATAAGTGGCACACCGTGCTGATGGAGGAGCTTGCGAAGAGGAAGTATTTTATGGATAATAATAAGGTGGGTGGATGGAGTTGTGTCAAAGTGCATCTGTGTTGAGTTTTTGTGATGATTGATTGCAGTGGTTCGCACCACAAGTCATTGATGAACATTATTTCAAGTATCCACAAGCTAATGTCTACCCGACGGAAAATTTTGCGGGGCGGGTCCTCGCTGCGACTCCTTTCTGTACGCTCTTTCACCTCTCTGCCGACGGTTGATGCTCACTACGGAGACTTATACGGTAGCTAGCCATGGAAAGAACTTTATTGCAGTGGGCTGCCCCTCTGGCTTATACGTAGCGGTACGTGGGCAAGCTCGTGGGTGCATTCGATATGTCTCTGTTCTTGTCGTGATGCTGAGTATTGCTGCGTGTTGTAGAATTCCGCAGAGCTCTGAGCACAACTAATTCATCGAGCATGGTTGCATTGTCAGATTTCAACAAGTTCCTCGTATTGTCAGACGACGGACTCTCGGCGTTTTCGCTCGACCTTCTCGGCCGTGTCGGGCAGGGGCTCGCAACGATTCATCATCTAGAGGCGACTATGGAGCCTATTGCTCCTCAAGATGGCGGCATAATGTTCTTTCGCGCCGGGCGCATAGGGGAGCGGACAATGGGTGAGTAAACAAGTGGGTCCCATCCCGATGATGTTCAAAGATACGGATAGTGCTCTATGTGACGAGACGCCTCCTGCAAGCGCACTTTCATGCTGTGGAGGTTGTGGGTTCTGGTCTTGGCCGCTGGAACTCGGGGCGCAGCGTGCCGGGATCAGTTGCCAGCATCTCTTTTCGTCCGTTTGGCGAGGTGAGTGCCCTATTGCGCCTCTCGTGAGAACACTGACCTCGAACTATGGGCGCATTCAGCCGCTGCTCGTCCCCAGAGACGCACATGGGTTTACGGTGTTGAACAGGAATACCGGGATTTGCACCGATAAGGGTATCTTGATAGTCAATCCTACCAAGTATGTGGTCGATACTTGCACAGCGATGTTCGTGAAAGCTGAGCTAAGGCATTTCGTGGTGCAGCCCGTCAGTCTTGAGCACAGCTCCTGTTGTAATCCCAAAGTTTGTTGGAACAGAGAACAACGTGCCTTTGGCAAATCTCAAGGAGCGTTGTGCGGGAGCCAGGCCTTTAGGACTGGTTCGCTGCCAGCGTGACGAAATCCTGGTCATATATGATGGTCAGTCGTGATTGCTCGCCTTAACACTATTCTTCGGCTGAACAACTCGACAGTCCTGGGTTGCTACATCGACAAGCACGGAAATCCTACCCGCTCTTCTGGCTATCTGCGATGGGAGTCCAAGGCAACAGCTTTCCTCCATCGCGACGAGCACATTCTGCTGTTCTCGCACGAGTTTGTTGAGATTCGTACCATCCAGACGGGAAAGCTGGTGCAGGTGATAGAAGAGGCAGACATCCGGCTTGCCTACGAAGGGCTGCTCTCGGGGGATAAGTCCGTGCTGGTCGCATGGAAAGGGAGAGAAGATCGTGGTGTCATCGTGGACAACGTCGTCGAGCTCGTGGAGACGGCTCCGCTTGTGACCTCCCCTACCGGGCAGGTTGAAGGGGCGTGGGATGAATGGTGAGATATCTGGCATATTGGAGATGTGGACGTGCTTTGCTGTATGATGCTGTCAAGTTGCTTTGCAGATATTTTATGCGTATATAATGCTCGGATTCGGAGCACATCGCTGGAATTAGAATGTAGTCATGAATATCAGTGTACTCATCGTGTAATGAGTAATGAAACATGCTGTAACGGAGTGAACAGATCAAATGTGGACCTACAGTCGAGCGCTTAAGACCGCGACGCGTATCACGTGGGCGACGCGTCGCACAGTCAACGCGACTGGAATCCAACCACGACCTTGACCTGCATACATCGGCATGGACCCCTCTTCCTCGACTGACCTCTCACAGGAGAGAGAACACTACAGAGCTCGGATTGTCACTGCACTGGAAGAAGATCCAGATCCTCTTTCAGCTTACGACAGCTTTGTCAAATGGACCTTGGACAACTATCCCAAAGAGCGCGTCGCACACTCCGGACTGCTCGAGCTACTCGAAGAAGCAACGAGACAATTTAAGGATGACCCTGCATACAGGGGAGATCTCAGATACCTCAAGTTATGGTCGTTATATGCTAGTCATGTTGAAGACCCCGCTACAATTTACGCCTTCCTATTAACCAATGACATTGGCACTGTATATGCGCAGACATACTGGGAATATGCTGCTGCTTTGGAAAAGGGAGGACGGTGAGCTGGGCTATCCAAGTATACATTGGGCTATTGAGTTAACGCTACAACAAGTCGTGCCGAAGCGGACGCTATATTCAAGCAAGGGATCAAACGCCGCGCGCGACCAGTAGATCCCCTCAAGAGACGCTACGATGAATTCAAAAACCGCTCAAGCTCTTCTCCGAATAGCTTTAATTCGACTGCAGCACTGTGGAGGAGCGCGTCTCCAAAGACGCAAGCCCTTCGCAGACATCCGCTCAAGAACTATCCTGGGAAAGCCTCAGCATCACCGTCTCATTCAGGAACATCAGGCTCCTTCAAGTTCAGCGCGCTTTCGGATCAGAGCCATGACCGATATGCTCCAATGCTCGCTCCTCCCGTTCCGGGCAGACGTCCAGAGAAGCTGCGATTTGACCTGTCGCTGCTGTTCACTGAGGACGGCACCGAGTACAGTATGCAAGAAGCGCGTGCGAAGTCAATGGGGCTCCTCGGAAAGAAATGGGCTCCGCCACCGCCGTCCGACTTCACTGTGCCGGTCAACTTCAAGGAGGACGGAGGAGCCCGCTCCACGGGCACCTATGGCAAGAAGCGCTTCCGTGCAACAGAACCTACAGTCACTTTAGCTACGAAGGAGGCTCTTGCCGATGTCTTCACCATGTACAACTCGCCAGAGAAGACGGCGCGGCTCACGTCTGTGGCAGGGAGCAAGTATGCACCCGTGCACAAGGTGGAGCCGGACACGCCCATGGCGATGCAGACTCAGGTTCGCGCCTCCCAAGGTGAAACCGCAAAGACACCGAGGAATAACGAGAACGCGAACGTCTTCGCGAAGACCCCAAGTAAGTTGGGACTTCGCCAATAGTTGTGTGCGATCTGATGCCATTCCGCGTTGTAGTCTTCACTCCCTTCCATGATGAGAACGCTGACCGGAAAGAGAACACGCCTGCAGTATTCCCAAAAGTAAGAAATACTGCCGCTAACTTTCACATGAGCGTTAGAGCTAATCGAAATGTAGCTCAAACCGCTTGTTGACAGTACGAAAAAGCCAGTATTCACCCCACGACAAGCACTTTCTGCTAAAGACAGTGTGACACCAGCTACAACACGAAAGCCTGTATTCGGCGAGAACTCACAAACTTTCAAGACCCCTGGTGCTCTCAAGCCTGTGCCGGAAGAACCAGAACCTAAACCCGTACTACCCCCGGTATTCACCCCAGCACCGCGACACCATGACGATGTTGATGCGCAATCGAAGGCCGACGACATCTCGACTGTTGAGAATGTGAGCGCGTTCACGCCATTCCGCGATCCGGACGCCCCCATGCGAGTATTCAGCCGGCCACCTGCGCGCAGTGAGAATGCATCGGTGTCGGCGCCCCCGGGGCCGGTGTTTAGACCGTACGTGGATAATGACGAGGAGAAGCAAATATCTGCGCCCCCGATGCGTCGGGTCCTTGGCGAGCGGACCCCGTTACGCGCATTCGCGCCGCCTCCAGTAGAGGAGCCTGATCTTGAGGAGGAAGAGGACGAACGCGCGAACGAGGACTCTTGTTTGGATAACGATGGGCGATATGCGGAGTACGCTGAAAGTGCCATCGCTGACGAGACTGCTCCCGTTGCGTTCGACGATGAGGACCATACCATGTACGGTGACGAAGACACCGGTGATTATCATCAACCACCTCTAGGCGGCAGGTGGGGTCCAGTCGACGTCATGACGCCCATCACAGAGCGGACGTTCGAATACACCCTCAGCACGCGCGGCACGCCCAGCGAGGCTTTGAATGTATACCGCGATCCAGTCGAGGCCGCGGAACAACTTGCGGCTGAACTGCAGCGAGATGACGAAGAGGGGGTGGATGGCGACTTGGCCACTTCGACTATCTTCATGAACGGGAAACCTGGTCACTCGAGTCTGTCGCGAACGCTTGAAGCTACATCTGCTTTCAGGCCTGCAAACCCGTGTAATCCTTTCGATCCCCCGATCATCACCACACTCCTGTCATTGATCCCACCGGATCATGAATTCCATAACCTCAAGTCGATTAATGCGGGCCACCTAGATGCGTTGCAGAAGTTCGCCAAAAAGAAATCGCGGCGAACGAGCGGAAATACGTCGAGTCGTTTTACGGATGACTTAGAAACATTGCCTATATCACTGTCTGACCGTAATTTTGCCGTCATCGGCAAGCTGGGGGAGGGAGGTTTCGGTGCCGTCTTCGAGGCTATCGACCTGGACATGCAGGCACGCCGCGACGAGGAGGATGAAGACGAGGATGACGACGACGCGCAGGACAAGTGTAAAGTCGCTCTGAAAGTTGTGAAGCCACGCAATCTGTGGGAATACCACGTCCTCCGAAGAATACATCGTTCATTGCCGACGCACCTGACGCGGTCGATCGTCATCCCGCAAGCCTTATATGCCTATCGCGACGAAAGCTACCTCGTCCTCGAGCTCTGCAAACAGGGCACCCTTCTGGACATCGTCAACCGCGCTGCGCAGGCCGGCATCACACAACAGGGCGCGTGTCTGGATGAACTGCTTGTGATGTTCTTCTCCATAGAGCTCATGCGCCTCCTGGAGGGCTTGCACCGTGCGGGATTCATACACGGTGATATGAAGATCGACAATTGCCTCCTGCGTCTGGAGGACGTTCCCGGACCATCATCAGCGTGGTCGAGCGAGTATGACCCGTCGGGAGAGGGAGGCTGGAGTTATAAGGGTATTAAACTAATCGATTTCGGACGTACAATCGATACAGGGTTGTTCCCTGCCAACCAGCGGTTCATCGCCGAGTGGCCAACGGATGCTCGCGATTGTCTTGAAATCCGGGAGGGTCGTCCATGGACGTACCAGACGGATTACTTCGGGCTTGCAGGGATCATCTACTGCATGCTCTACGGAAAGTACATCGAGGCATCATCAATAGCTCCTTCGTCCTCTCCAGGCCCGATCGGTGAACAGCGATACAAGCTAGCGGCCCCTTTAAAGCGCTATTGGCAGGGAGAAATATGGACAAGACTGTTTGACCTCCTAATCAACCCCTGTCTCGTCCGTCCTGACAGCAAGCTGCCCGTTTGCGACGAGCTGGCAGAGTTGCGGGTAGAGATGGAGGTTTGGTTGCAAGCCAATTGCAACAGAGCGAGCAATAGCTTGAAGGGGCTTCTCAAGAAGATAGGGATCTACATACTGAAGGGCAGCCGATAAGGTCCCTCATATGAATATAGCATACATTACATCTAGTCTCGCTCTTGCTCCCACTTTCTCTGTATACCTTACATTGACTTCCCTTACACGTCGTTTACGCTGCAAGCTGGTCTGTGCTTTACAATCCTTTTGCATTGCATCACAACAGGTTTGCAGCAAACAACACGAAAGCCGAAGACAACTCGAACATGACTACCACCGCGACAGGACCTTCCGGCTCGATCCACACCGAAAGCCTGCAGCTCCTTCGCGCACGGCGCAATGCTCTTCCACTCCGGACGGACAGCAAAGGTCCGAACAATACTGATGGGATACGTCTCAAGCGTGACCAACACCGCCCATGGGCACAGGCGGAGCCTGCGAGCCGTCGTATGGATGGGGCTGTGGGCCAGGAGGCGGCATCATCATCGGATATGGCACAGCATGTTGCACTGAAGATACGAAGTACGGACAGTCAATTATTATTATTCCATCTTCTACGATAGATCAGTGAAGCAGACGTACTTTGAGGGCTCTGTTGGTAGTATGGATGGGCGTGTGATGGGATGGGAGTCGGAGGCATGGACGGTCGTGGGCCTGCGCCGTTCGGAGGTACAGGATATGCTCCAGGGGGCGGAGCTTGTTGCATGTAAGCTTGTGGTGCTGTATATGCAAACGATTTAATATAGATAAGAGATAGCAGAGAGCCGATGCACTCACGGGGCATCTGGCCCATGGGCCCGGCAGGATACATGGCTGCGAAAAAGCCTCTAAGAACGAAGTCAAGGTAATACAGTGAGACGACAGCTTACCGTTAGGGGGCATGGGATATGGCATAGGCTGCATGAACGGAGGAGGGGCAGGCATATATGCGCCAGGCGGTGGCGGTGCCATGCCTGGCATCATCGGCTGAGGATACTGCAAAGGACACATGCCATCAGTACATCTTCTCTGCCCTGATACTACATGCAATGCACCTGTCCAGGGTAAGCGTAAGGCGGGTAAGCATAAACGTATCCACGAGCGGCGGCGGCTTGCGCGGCTGTGTCTTCCTCGTATGATTGCGGCGGCATCTGCGGTGGAGGATGATGTGCCATGGGCGGCGACTGCTGCTGAGGCTGGGCCTGCAATGGAGGGAACATCTGCATGTACCGCTTGCCGCTGTATGGCCATGTTGGAGCTACGACCAAGTCAGCATACGTCTTACAGTAGGTCTTACGAAGTCAGACGCACCAACTTGCGCAGCGTCGACGACCTTGTTGTACTTGAAGGGGTTGAAATCGTCCTTAATGTGCACAGGAGGAGCCTTCTTAGGAATGCGCGTCCCGAAGAATGGGTTGGGAGGGCCTTGCGTCTGAGGGGACGCTGCACCTTCAGCCTGCTTCGGCTTGGGCGAAGAAGACGAGCCATTCACACCCGGAGATGGACCCTATACGCGTGACCCCGAGACATTAGCGCCATATGTCGTCTCAGTACATACACAATCACTCACAGAAGGAGAGACCGACTTGGGATTCGGCCTAAACGACGAAGCATTCACGTTCAAGCGGTTCGCAGCGGTTGGCGACAGCGGACCGTTCCCGACAGCGTTTGCGCCGCCGCTGGGTGCGCGAGCACCAGCACCGGCAGCAGGAGTAGGCGCCGCAGATGAGCGCTTGCCCTTGAAGGCCGGGATAGGTTGAATGTACATGCTGACCCGCTTGCCTTCACCTGACTTAGCCTGATCAGCCAGCTTCTGCGCACCGGCCGCCGCAGCCTTCGCAATGGCTGGCTGTGCTGCCGGCGGCTTCGCAGAGCCAGGCGGGTTGGAGGCGCCAGGCAGACGAGCGACAGTTGCCGAGGCGGTGATTGTGTTAGAGGTACCAATAGCACGCGCATTCGAAGATTCGGCGTCCTTGGTCGACTTCTCGCGTATCTGCCGCTGCTTTTCTTCATCCTTCGCAAGAATGGGAACAAGGTCTTCAGGGATCGGCTTGTTAAGCTGTGACGGAAACGGGATTCAGCGTTAGAATGACCATAGGACGAAATGTGATTGTTTCCATGCCACTGAACAGACGCATGGACGGAGAAGTGTGCATCAACACGGTAAATGTAGAAATATGCGAATGCAACAGGATATATGCGCGCGATAGAGGAACGACCTGGTAAGATGCCGCGAACCACGGGTTCCAAACGCATTTTGACAACACCAAAGGCAGATCCGCACTTACCTTGAAGCTCTTGCTGAACTTCACAAGCTCGGCCATCCGCTTGTCCATCTCGTTCTTCATCAACACTTGCTTCCTTTTCATGAGACGGTCCTTCTCACTAGACACGAACTCTCTGAATGCATCATCAGCAGACGGCTGCACAACACACCACCCATTGTACACAAGACGGATAAGAAGTCAGCCATCATCCATCGTTTAAATAATTGCAGACGCACCTTCGCGCCAGCCGCGGGTGCAGGCGACCCAGCCTTCGGCGGTATTGCACCAGCTGTGGTGCTCGTGCTGGTACCAACCTTGTCAGTTGGCACCGACGACCCATCCGGCGCTTCCACCGACACCTTCGGCAGCGCCTGCTTCTCGGGCTTCGTAGGCGCGCTGGCGTTTCCTTTGCGTGCGCCGGGTGGGACATATGCGTTGGCACTGCGGACGACGGCACCGTACCTAGGAGCAGATGGCAGACGTCAGAGCGAAGAATTTATGATGGTAGATTAGATAACGTACTTCTCTTCCTCATTCGTGCTGCTATCTCCAACAAGATTCTGTGTCCGCTCTTCCGCTATGTGCGGGTTGCTCGTTGAACTCTATCAGAGCAATGACCCGACGAGACAGCAACGTTCACGCATACATCCACACACACCCACAAGCACAAAGTTCATCAACGCAGACACAAACCCAAGACCCAATCAGCCACCACCCGCGCACCACAGCACACACAACCTCACACGCACCTGCATAATCTCATTCGCAATCGCCGCCGCCCTCCTCTCCCGCTCCTTGAAGTTCGGCGCATTCCTGTCCAACCTCGTCGTGTACGCCTCCTCGTCGAAACCTGCACGGACACCGAACAGCTTTTCGTTCGCCGCAAACTGGTCCCATGAGCCACCCGCACCCGGGCCGAATGTCAACTCGTCGCGTAAGGCGTTATTCAATTGGGGCGGGGACGTCGAGGCAGACGCAGACGCAGACGCGCCCGGCTCCTCCGATGGCTGCCATGCCTGTAAAGCGCGTTCACGTCGCAGAGCGGTTGCTTTGCTGATGTCGACGTCTGTCTTGAAAGCTGGATTGCGATGAGTTAGCAGCTGATACACTAGGAGGTGGAACTCGATAGCAGGAATGTGCACATATAATTGTACCATTCCACAAAGAGTCTGTTACTGTCAAGACTATTCCGGTCTTACGTAAGTTTACGGTATGCGCTAAACCCTTGGTTTTTGCAGCCGAGGGTATAACCCGTTCTGATAGGGCTTCGAGGCCGCTGAAGTAATGACGATGCCCATGAAGGTCATCTCATGGATTGGGGCGGTCAGGCCAACAATAAATCAAGGAATATAAGGAGTGCTCATGGACCCAAGGCTAGTGTGGCGTGTAACAGCCATCAAACCGAGCTCGAGCCCAAGCCTAAAGTGATCAACAACAAACACTCACTATCTCCGTTGACGGCAGGCTGGGTAGCAGGCGCCTTAGAATCGGCAGGCCCGCTGCTCCATTGATCAATGTTCGTGGCGGCAATAAATAGTTGCTCGCGAAGCGGTGCACCGGAAGTTGTGAGCTCTTTGACGTCGCGAAGCGTGACGCCGGTCGTGTCGCCTTCACCGCTAGTTGAGGCAATCGAGCCTTCGTAGCGCAGGTGGGTCTTCGTTGAAAGTGTAATCGTCGTGCCCTACGATACGACGGCGTTGTATGTGTATGTATACAAGGGGTGGTCATGATGCAGCGACAAAATGCGGCACGAGGAGATATGAGAGGAGGAACGAGTGTCCGTTAGTGGTGGCGCCATGGAGACAACATCGAACGACGCACGACGAGCCCAGAGAGCTGAGCGAGTACACGGTCATGTGGGCCGTCACCGCTTGTGCGCGGCGGCGGAGTGCTACCTGCACTATTCGTGTTACCGAGCGGCGGGAAGGCGCCAGAGGTAGCAGCGGAAGAGGCGCCGTTGGGTAGGCGAGCATTGGGCGTGCTCGGCGAGTAAGTTGGCGACGCCCGTGCGCCTGTCCATGCAGTTGGACGCCTGGAAAGAACACAGTTTTTAAAGGGTATCCGGGTTGGGGGCATGGCGATACGCACCGTGCAGCAGGTTCTGGCATACCTTTCCGTTGAGGTTTGGGCTGTCTCGCTGTAGTGGCCATCGACTAAGAGGAGTAGCAAAATTCGCGGAAACAGAGTCGAAGATGGAGGGAAGGTAGACTGGGAAAGAAAGCGAAGAAGCGAAGACTCAGATGAGAGGCAGCGAGGACTTCAAACGACGAGCCGGAGACAAGAATCTGTCTCAGTACGGGGCGGTGAGATGAATGTTAAAGTCAGAGCCCGGAACGTGATAAGCGTGGACAGCAGGCCTGCACTGCTGTCGTGAAGGGGGTGGACGTGCTGGACGACGTTGACGACGCTAGAGTCGTAGGTGGCGGGGTCGAAGCAGCTAGCTTGAGTGAGAGGGGCGACGGGCCTGTCGTCCTCATTCTCTGATTTCCCTCCAGCTACACTCACTGTCCGGACCCCGGCACACCCCTCCCTACGCCCTATCACTGCTGATGCTTCGTGTTCCCTGCTCTCTCAGCGCCACAGCCGACGCAATATTCTCCTCGCTGCACCCAATGTCACCGCATTACGCATGATGATCTCGCCACCTTAGTGAATGTCGGAAAGCATGAAATGCGCAAAGATGGGGAGCGTTGGTCCGTGCTTGCGGTGGCCGGGGGGTGGCCACAGCGTGTATTGGATCTCGTCTTCCTCCGCGAAACCGCACCCATGCCGCCAATCTCGTCCACGACGGCCATCAAACTCTCCATCTCTCCCTCCAATCAATGTCCGCAGAGGTTGCGAAACAATCTCCTGCGCAGCTCTGCGACTCACGCAGAAGGCACGTCCGTGTGCAGGATTTCGCTCCAGCATCTTCCCCGATGACGGAGCGGGACAGCCTTTGAGCGGTATCATGATATCCTTTACGCGCGTCTCATGGACTCGTTCAGCCATCGTTTGCCCGGGTACCTCGACTCGCCGAGCCATTGACGCGTCCCAGTTGAGGCTCTTCCTTCAGTGCAACTTCAGCAGCGATACGCAACGCTCTTGCAATACCATCAGATGTTGAGACTGTTTGCACCGCTCTTGACTCTGTGACTAACGGAAACAATTCATCGGCTCATCATGCATCAGGCAGGAGGCTGAATGTTTGAACACAGCAACGACGGCCTGTCGAGGCAGAGGGCATGCTCTGTCAAGACGGAACAGTCCACAATTCACCTGCTGTCCTAGAACCCGCGCAGCTCCGTCGAGGAAGCACCGCCATGGTCGCCTACTTGGGTAATATATTCTGATCCCAGTTCCCTTATTTCCGATTTGTTCCCACCGCCAACGATTGACTTGCCCACTGCAGAGAGTGGGACCCGAATATTCGGGAAAACTTACGATGACACTGTACATAACAGAACAAGACCATATATGCTCCAATGTATTTCCACAGCCGCACCTACGCTCGAGAGCATCGATTATCTTGCATACGCACACGCATACACATGATGATACCATGCACAGCTCTTCCAAAATACTACTTCTTCCCAAATTCCTTCCCCACATTTACCAACCCTCCCTGCTCGACACTGACCTCCCATAGCTCCACTCGCGCCCTCTCCCGCGCCTTTTCCAGCTCGTTCCTGAGCATGCGCGCCTTCGCCAGGATCTCTGCTTTGCTCTTTCCACTGCCCTTACCCTTCACCGCACTGTTCCTGTTAAGGTTCTTATTTGCACCTGCACGGGGTGATATCGAACCCGAGGACGGAATCGACCCGAGTGGATGCAGGGACCCGGCGAGAGAAAGAAGGGAAGAGAGTGCTGCATAAGGTGAGGGGGACGCGGAAGCGGTCGATGTGTACGGAACAGTTGGAGAGAAAGTGGGTTTAGCGGTCGGGAATACGTGCGGTTGCTGTAGAGTGTGGGAGTAGGACTGAGAATATAGGTGTGCTTGCGACCCAAACAACGAACGCGGCTGGAACTGACTCGGAATCGAAGAAAAAGGCGGTTGCAAATTTTGTGTCTGTTGCTGGACTGTGGGCTCTAGCAGCGATACTTCATGCAGCGGGGCACTCGATACCACATTCCCCACGGCCTTCTGCGTCTCAGCTTGTGCATTCGCATGCGTCGACGACTCAGTCGTTTCAACGTTCAATGTAGCAGCAGAGGCGCCCATTTCACCGCTCGTATCTGCAGTGTGGTTGTCTTGCTGCAATTGCGACAGCGCATTCGTCGAGGCAAATGGCGGCGTCGCCTGACCGCTCACTGAAATGGATAGGCCTGCCGCCTGTCCGTGTTCTTCGGGTTCTTGAGCTGGCGTTGCAAACCATGCAGTGTCCTCTATCGCCTCTTGCAGCGGTTGGGTTGTCGGCCTCCCCTCGTCCACGTCCAGTTGCACCTGCTGTGCAGGCGCTTCCACCGGCATACATGCCTTTTCCAACTCCCTCTCAAATGCCCTCATATCTTCGACGCTCACTCCCATATCATCCAATCTCATCCCTTCCAAATCGAACACACCGGAATCAGCCGCTTCTTCTCCATTCAGCGATGCAGAGAAGCACGCACCTTCCTCTCCTATCCCTATGGCTACAACGTCGGTGTCAGACCGTCCCACTTCACCAAGATCGCCGAGCGGCCACGTCCACTGCGGCGTGAGCGCCTCTTCCTCTGCATCCTGCTCTGCAGACGAGCGCGGAGAGCCCACGAACGAATCCATGTTGGTCAGTGTCGGCGTTGGCGGTGAGTCCGTGTTCATTGCAGTCGCAGTTACAGGTGCAGAACCTATCTGCGGCTGACCCGTCGCATCGGACAAGGCCATTTTGGACGCCATAGAGCCATGTTGATCAACATCCTGTGCGAGGGTGTCGAGTGCCAAAACAGAGGCGTCAGACGCAGACATGTCAAAAAGGGCAGGGTCGATCAAGTAGTCAGGAATGGAATCTAGCATGGGGAAGGGTTCGCTCAGAGGAGTCTCTGCGGGGGTATATGCTGGACTTGAACCAGACGTTGATGCAGTAGCATCATCGGGAGTTGAGGCAGACATAGGGATGAGGTCGTAACAAGTTGTGTCCGTTATTCCAAGGTCATTTAAGAGAATTTGGATGTCAGTAGCGGACGAGGCGTCATTGAGGTCCCCGGCAGGAAACGAGTTCAGCAATGCCAGCCAGTCGTCGAAGTATGGTTGCGTGCGGTCAGATGAGAACACAGGCGACGCAAAGTCGTTTGATTGCTCAGCATTGGCAATGTTGGACACTACCTGCTGCTGATCTGCTTGGACAGTCTGCAGCTCCTGCACCTGATGGGAGTCGAATATGTCCAAAGGTGTATCCGCAGGATGGTCTGCAGACGCCAACGAAGAGGGCTGCGAGGGTGGTTCGCTCATCGTCTGCCTTGCAGAAGTCGCAATGGGAGCAATCTCGCTGCTCGGCCTTGCACCAGGCGTGCTGGTGCCAGACAACACCGGCTTTCGCAACGACCGCCCGTCTCCTCCAGATGGGGGCTGAGTATAGACATCCTTTTCCAGCCCATAAAATGCCGTCTTCATCCTGTAGTGCCCGTTAATCCATCCTTGCCGCTGAACCGAAAGTCGCCTTCGACGTTCTTCCTCCTGCTGCTGCTGATACTCCTTAGCTGCTGCTTTCTTCGCCGCAGCTCGAAGCAACCCAACCAAGTCCGCAAGAAGCTCCCGCACGCGATCTTTAGCCCAGTTCGTCTTGTAATCTTGGGGTCCCTGACCCTCGTGGAAAGGGTATGGAACGTCCCAGTCCGTCGCACCTGCCGGCACCCGATTAAGCTTTCGGCGCTTCAGCGGGGGTGCAGCGCGCGAGTCGATGTGCTCAAAACCTGAACGTTTGTGCAGATGCGGCGGTGGAGGAGTCGTCGGCGCTGATCCACTGAGCAAGCGAAGAAGGGATTCGATCACAGGCACAACATTCCCCTGGCGCACGAGCGTGGCAATGATCTCCTCATTGCTGGGTCGAGGAAGCTGTGAAGTGTCGAAGTTCGCACGGGTCGGGTGACGTGAGATGGAGGCAGGTTGGCTTGTGACTGGGCCAGTACCAACCGGAGTCTCACTGTCGTCGATGACAATGGGATTCTGTGCGGAAGTGCCGCGCTGTTTAGCGAGCTGCGCAGGATTGACGCCGCCAACAAGCCCAGCGAGGCCGAGTAACGCCTGCTGGTTCCGCAGAAAGTTGGGAGGCAAAGGTTTGTCGCTCGAGGGCAGCTGGATAGGAGGAGGAGCTGACCGAGGAGTGGAGGAACGGGACGTAGACATTGCCTTCTCCTTGCCCTTCTTGGACTTGCGGTGAGCAGTTGGTGGACAAGGAGTAACCGACGATGCGCGAGTATGCACGCTGGATATTTGTCGAGCCAAGGGTGGCCTGGGTGGCCGCATGACATTAACCGCGTGGTCACTCAACGGTAATAACGCTGGCGGGACTGATGCTTCAGCGACAAGATGGGAACCAGGAAGTGCAAGGGTCCCCACGTTTTGTGCAGAACCGACAGCGCTAGGAAGCGCCAGCGGTGACGGTGACCTACCTCTGCCCCCTTGGGAGGGCGGGGGCGAGCCGAAGAGCGAGTCGGAATCCGCACTTGCATCGACATCAATGTCCTCAGTTTCGTGCGATTTAGGGTCGACAAGCATAGCACTTCGCGTCATCGTATGGTGTGTCAGAGCGTGATTGGATGGGACAAGATTGCTCATAGTCACCTTGGAAGAGCACTTTTCGGGTGGATGTCGACTATGCGCGGAGGGGATGGAGGGTGCGTGGTCCACGTTGACAAATATAGTCCGTAATGAACGACGTCGAGGACTCCTGCAAAACAAATATGTCAGAAAGCCAGGAATGAAGCGTAGCAATGATAGCGTCCGACCTGAAGTAAAAGTTTCTATCCGTGAAGCATCGGTAAGTTGTCTTCGTCTGTCGGTTGAAAAGTGAAGTGAAGAAACGTGCGGCCACAGCCGCCGCAAAAAGAGTCTAATTATATAATACAACGCAGCAAGCCTAATGTAGAGATATCGTCAAATAGACGCCCAGACTTCAGGTTGGGGCCATTTCCGAATGACCCTATAGCTAGTCATTCGGGTTATAGCGAGCTATTGCAGAGCATGTGCTTACATTATCATGGCCCCCCTCGTTGCCCGTTTCCCACGTTTGTGGCTGGATGAGCGCCCCAAAAGTTTCGCTCCAGCACGAGCTTGTGGCGATTGGCGCAGGAGACATGGTGCCATTTTCAAGCGTGTAATATGCTTAGCAAATGATAATTAGATAGTCAGATTCTATTTCATTATTTGCACTGGTCGCAATTTGTGTAGCAAAATTAACATCTGAGACCATACATGGGATCGAGCAAAATCTTACAGGGCAAATTCAAACTTCGCAGAATGTGTGTAGTCACAAATATGGAAATATAATTGGCAACCTCCGCCAATCTGTTATTTTGCGAGAAGTATGAGACTCCCAAACTATGGTTTGTCATATACCACAGTTTCATTGTGGCTATCACATTCTAGATTTGTGGCGGCACATGTAATGTTCACTTATTATGGTTGAAGGTTGACTATCTAATTAGCATTTGTCACAGCATATAGCATGCTCGAAAATACCTCCATGTCTCCCGTGTGGTCCCTGTTGACGACTGTGTCCCTAAACGGCTGTTGTCGACTGCTCTTGTTACTTGAGGTTAATCTCCCAACAAGTTTGCATGGCCTTTCAAACCCCGCTGTGGCTGAAGTGGCTGAAGGTAGCCGTCGCATTGCAGTGGCTTCCGACTTCATTTTGGAATGGGACGTTCTCTCATATTTTGCAAAATCCTTAGACAGTTTAGCAAGATCTAGTACACATTAAGAGTTCTCTGTAGTTTGCCAGCATTGTGAAGCATATATAGTATTAAAACTCACCCAAGCACTAATGTATATATCTACCCAACTGTGTTTAAACTTTAAAGACTCAGCGTTACAGTGTCGTGCATTCAGATCAGTTAAAAAACATAGTGCGACAGTTCTCGTGCAGTTCAACATCACATTTCCATCGCATCATTGACCACATGACCTCTTGGCATTCAGGATGAAGCGTGGCTCTGCATTGCCCTTCCGTATTTCAAGAATTGAGGGTTTCGCGTTCATGAAGCCGATCGCGTCGGGAGTACTTATCGATCATGCAACGTGAGGGTTGGTCATCTCAGCCACAGCGGGGTTTGAAAGGCCATGCAAACTTGTTGGGAGATTAACCTCAAGTCTCTTGTGGACTTTGTCGACATTGTCTGTCTGTCGCTGTTCATTGTGTGGCCGTCTGTCATGCCTACAACTGTTGTTGCTTTGCTGTGAAAGGCCGACATATGTGATTATCTCTATGTTCTTCATCGACTTTGACTATTCTACATTCCCACTGCCGAACTATCCGAACTACTCTTAACTATTCTTCTCAAATCTCCTCATTTATACTCTGTATATCGCGGACAAATGTACATGCCATTGGTACTCTATCCTTTGTATATCACGAACTATCGTACTTTCTCTCGTAACTCAATGCCCTCCTCCGAGTCACAAATGGTTAGATGCTTGTCGGTCTTATCCGCCGGTCATTCGGACCCGGGCGTGCGAATGCAGCGCCGACACCACCAAGTCTCCATGTTGATCAACTGCAATAGCATGTTCCGTAAATATTCCTCGGAGTGGGGAGTACGTAAGACACATAAGACAACGAACGCTATGACTACGACGATTCACTGGTAGGTTTCGGCCTATCCTCCACTTTCGGTGCCATCTCGTATCCAGCGAAACCTTGTGAAGCCTGCACGACATCTTCAGGCGCGTCAGGCTCCAAATGCCCCTTGGAGTTCCTCTTTGCCCTAGATATATGTTAAACCTATGAAGGCAGCCTATAGTCAATCAAGCGCTCACTTAAAGAACGTATAGGACAAAACGACGTCATCCAGATTTCTACACGCAGGATCGTCGAGGACGTCCTTGTCGATGAAGAACAGAAGGGGCATGTCTACTTCTTCCCCTGCAAGCAGCTTTTGTTCTTCGAAACAGAAGCACTCTACCTTGCCAAAGTAAGGTGCAATCTGAAAGGCATCGACCGTGCTGTCAGCAGATGTATTGTATTAAGGTGAACAACATACCCTGTCAGGAGTGACGTTGTATGTTGCAATCCCGATGATGTCCTCGTTCGAATTGTTCTTTGCTTTGTAGAATGCCAGACTAGTCTCGCCAGGAAGCACGCTGACAAACTTCTGTTGAGGCTTAAAGGTCCAAGGAAGCGCATCGGACTTCTCAGCGTTGAAATGCACTTTGATTCGTCTCGCGTCTTCCACAGGGACAAGGCGGTCGGCTTCGAATCTGCCCATCCCGACCTGCGGCGTGCCTGCGAAACCAGTGGCCGCGCAGAACATACGGTACAGAGGTACTGAAGCATATGTGGCTCCAACACCGAATACAATCTGCGAAAGTTCATGTTGTTACGAAAGGGGAAAATATCGAGCGGCTGGTATGCACGTACCACGGCCGCAGTGTACATCAGGATATTCCGATTTTGAGTGGCATACCGCAGTTCTCGTGCTTTTTGATAGGGCGGAGTCACTGGAGATGGACGTGCGCTTGAGGAAGGAGTACTTTCGGTTGAGGCTCTCCGTGCAGCATTCGGACCATGAGAGCAGGTCTTTCCTTGTCGGAAGATGCTTCCTCTACACGACGGGAACGGAAGCGCGCTTCTGCCCTGCAGTAGTCAATCATAAGTCTGGCAAGAAATAGCTATACAACTGAAGGCCTACGGAGGAAGCTAGAGAATGGAGCGCGTTGGCATGTTGCGGTCGCAGCAACGCGGACCGGATAGCGTTCATTGGATGCAGTTTGTGGCAAAGTCGTCCATTGATCAGCGCGCGTCTTGCCTCCCGACCCCGAGCACAGCTACAGCGGTATCCAGGTCTTTGTCGCACGAGGCCAGTGCCGTCGTTCTACCTCTGCTCGCCACGTCCTTGTTCTAGCGTAGCTACTGCAGCTGCCTTTTTTCTCCTGGCTGGTCTGCTGTCTATCATCCAATTGGGCGTATCAATCATGTCTACCGAGGCCTCTTCTTCGAAAGACAGCAAGGTTTCCAAGGCTATTGATGGGGGTCCTGTTCGCAGCGCCGACGACATCGAAAAGCTTCTGAGCCGGGAGGCCACTGCGTTCCAGCGAGAAATCGAGGTCGAGCGCATTCTCAAGGCATTCAAGCTCAAGTCAGTATTCTTTCATCTGTTACCCTCACTCATAGCCGGCGTCTTACGACTCACACACAACCCAGTCCCTACGAGGTCCTCGACGTCACGGAAGATGCGACGCCCGAAGACATCAAGAAGAAGTACAGACAGCTCTCGCTCTGTGAGCCACACTCCGGCGCAGCACTAGCGTGCCTATTGTCTCCGCTGCTCGCATATTGACGGATCCCTCGTACGTTGTCTGATGTCCAGTCATCCATCCTGACAAGACCCCCCACCCTCGTGCGCCAGATGCATTTGATCTCCTCAAGAAGGTCTGTTCAATCCCTGGTGTCCCATCGCCTTGGTCGTTGCGGCGCATTGGTTCTATATGCTTCATCGCATCGAGCAGTGCATTGACCAACATTTCCCTTTACAGGCTGAATCTGATCTCTCTGACAAGACAAAACGCGAAGAGCTCGATGCGATCATCACCCAGGCTCGCGCTGTGGTCTTGAAGTCCCTTAATCTTCCCACAACAATACCCACTAGCGATCCGCGCCTGAAGAATTTAACGCCGTCGTTTCGACAACAATTGCTTGCGAAGGCGAAGGAGTTTCTCATAGACGAAGAAGTCCGTAGGAGAAAGTAAGTGGCAAACTCACTAACATCGCTGCGGTCTGTTGACCCCATTGCCATTCCTGAAGGGCGATCAAGATGAATTTAGCCAACGAAGGTCTCGAAGCGCGTAAAAAGGAAGACGAGGTCAACGCGAAGAAGCGTAAGGCGGAGGAGGACGCGAGATGGGAAGGTGTGTGCCTCTTTCATGGATTGATAGTACCGAGTGCTGAACACCGGCTTTTGATGCAGAAAATCGGGAGCAACGTGTGGACAGTTGGCGATCATTTGCGTCCTCGTCAAAGACAAAGAAGAAGAAGCAGAAAGTCGCTATCCTCGGCTAAGGCTCCCACCGTCTGCTCCTATGTCAGATTACCATGGTATCTCCGTGATCTTCACTATGCGTGATACACTGGAGGTTGTACTTATTGCACTTGTATCCCTGACCCCACATAAATAGAATGGTCGAAAGTTCTACATCGTACATTAATTCAGCTAGTGCTAGGGATTTCACCATCGCGGAACGTACTTCATTCTCGCAATTCTACTGTGTTTAATCCGACAGTTCGATCACATCCCCCTCTGACCGGCTTGCAGGTAGCCTTGCAACACGCCTGCGTACACGGCGCGCAAGAACTGGCACGTTCTCCTTGTCATCCTCCTCGGAGTCGTCAATGGTAATCACATCGGGACCGACCCTCTCCACACCTCCTGTGGCATTAATGCTTGAGCTGCTATCACCCGGTGCTCCCGTTGATGATGGGCCCGCGCCAGGAGTGAAGACGGAAGCAGATGCGCTCATTCTTGGGTCGACGGCCGGCTGGATGCTCGTGACGGTCCGTTGTGAGAACGTCGCAACTGTGCCCACAAGGGTAGTGCTGGGTGCTCTCGTCTGCGTAAGCTGCGTCTCTTCATCATCCACAAGTGCTTCTTGACGTTCCATCTCTCGCAGAAGAGCGTCATCGACGTCCTCATAGCCATAATCCGAGCTCGATGATGCAGGAGCTGGCTCCAGGATTGCTTGAGCGGCCCTGGACGGCCCTGCAGCAGACCGAGTGGTACCCGTCCCTGACACTTGCCAATCGTTCTCGTCGTTCTCATCATTGCTGCTGTCGGACACAACAACGAGCGGCTGGCGAGGTGGAGAGAACACACGCTCGCGAGCAAGGGCGGCGAAGGGGTTGTTCAGTTCAGGTCCTGGCGCGAGCGTCGAGAAGAAACGCGACTTTGTAGGTTCGTTCGTCTGTGATTGTGGCATTGGATTCGGGGATGGGCTACGCTGTATGCGGGAAGGCAGTTTACGGCGACGCAACGGGGCATCTTCATCGTCGTGCCTAGTACCTGAGGGGCCTGCGATCGGAGGCAAGAGGGCCTCTGATAACTCGCGAAAGGGCGAACGGATGCTTCCTGCGCCTCCTGCCTGTGAAGGAGCCGCGATGGGCATAGTCTGCCGAACAGCTAGTGCTGCCTCTGGTTTCGGTTGAGGCTCTTCTAGTGCAGGATCGTCCGGTTTACTACCCATCATGTCACTGACATGAGCTCAAGAACATCGATAGAGACGAGAAGAGACTTGCCCCAGACGCACTCTGAGCCCTCGCGCGAAGTCGCGGTCTTGTAGCGCGTCGAGGTCGGCACACTGATGGCCTTTCATGATCACGCACTTGGGCTCGAGAAGTGCTATTCCTCCGCGGATCGAGACGTTTTTAAGGATCATCTGTCGGCACGAGATTGGTCAACAATGGATGGCCATCTTAAGGAAGGGAGCGGAAGAGGATCAAATGAAGTTGAGGTGCTGCTGCAACCTTCTTTCTGAGTGTCCAGGACGGCACTTGCTCCTTTGGAAAGCATATATACAGCAAGTGACATGCCCTTCGGAAAGGTTAGTTCAAGCTTACTTTATAGCCGAGCTTCGTCTCCCCAAGAACGAGCTCAGGCAGACGACGATATTCGATGGCTTGTAGAGTGGTGGAGCCATCGCTGAGTTGGAAGCGTAGCATTGAACGTGGATAGGACGGGATGGGGCCTTCATCTTCTTCATCCTCTGCCCTAGCGAGCCCTGCCATGTCCGCGCGCTCAAGCCGTGCCTGGCGGACACTCTGTAGTGAGAATGCACTGTTTCCAATGTCCGTGATAGATATGATTTGCACAAGGATAGGTCCACGAATTACTGTGTTCTGCAGGTCGACCACATTCCGCGGCAGTCCCGTTCCCGCGACCATGGAGTCTGTCAGATCAGATTCGAGGAGCTGCATGTCTACAATGCGAATGATGTCCTGCATCTGACTTGCGGGGTCAAAGTGGAACTCGCTTTCGATCCAGGAGTAGCAGCCGTCTAGCCACTCCTGCAAGTATTACCATCAGCAAGTCGACTATAGGAAACATGGGGGAAAAAAAAATACAGAATCTACAGAAGGTTGTGGATACGTCCGCTTGAGCCATATAGCGATCTGAATTGGAGGTGCCATTGCATGCGAATGCTGTTTCCACCGTTAAGTCCTGCGGATATGTACACCTGCAATTATGGACTGACTGTCTCGGATGCACAGGTTAGGATTCCAAGTCTTTAATTATGCGCAATAAGCTAACTGCACACAGGCCGCTTTCTTAAAGGCACGGCAGCGCATGAGCAGATAGCGGTGGCGGTTGAAACGCGGTTGTGGCAAAATAAGAACGCGTCGCGAACGCGTGTACCGAGACGCACGTGATCACGCCCTCATTCGTGAGGCGCTCGATCCGAGAATGAGTTTAACCGACTCGGATGGCCATGCAAGACAGAGGGCATTAATTAAGACAACACCCCCCCAACATGAAATGCTGAGGCGCACCCAATTACCTCGTTTGTTTATGCAGGCATCTTTCAGCTCCCGACGAGCGCAAGCGGCCTCTGCTAGCTCCTCCGTTTCACGCCTACGTGATCTTCCTCGTCTGCCTGTCCCCGGTCTACATCAAACGCTGCAGAAATACCTGAAATCGCTGGAACCATTTCTGCTGGAAGATGAAGCTCGGGGTGGCCCATCCTTTCGGGAAGCTTACGAGAAACGAGCAGAGTGGGTGGAAGACTTCGAGCGAGGCATAGGCGCGGTATGTCAAGAGCGTTTACTTGGTCGGTGACGCCCCCACTTACAACGGGAGCGTGTTCTTATGGCATTGTTCTGGACATATGCAACAACTGTAGCACTTGACAGAGCATCTCCGACCAATTGGCTGGATGACAACTTCTGGATGAAAAAAGCTTATCACGAATGGCGGGCACCACTTTTGGTGAATTCGAATTGGTGGCTGGCGTTCCACAACGATCCCAACGTGCCTGAAGACGTAATACATGGACGTATACCGACTCGAAACATTGGGTACACGGACTGGCAAGTACGTAGGGCGAGCTGGCTTGTACATCGGATACTGGAATGGAAGGCTCGTTTGGAACGGTTAGCCGTCTTTTATCCCACCATGTTGCTCTTCACTAAGAATGCAACTCCCGCAGGCAAGACTGTCATTCTGACAACACGCGTGCAGGTGTGTTACCTCCAAATCGCTCAAGCGGACCACTGAACGGTCGCCCCTCTAAGGTATCTGGCTTCGAGATACCGCAGGCAAGATGTTCAATATCGCTAGGTTGCCACGTCCGGGTTCTGATACCCTATCATCTTTCCCAACTCCGGGCGACCATGATGCTCGCAAGCTCATCGTTCATGCATATGATTGGCTGTATGCGATTGAAGTGCTTGACGAGAACATGCAGTCGCTTCCTCCGGCATTGATTGAACGTCGGCTAAAGGCGATAGTCGCCGACGTTGAGAGGCGGCTCGCCCGTGGTGAGCGTGCTGTGCCGGTCAGTGTTCTTACCACCGATGAGAGGGACCGGTGGACAGAGGTTAGCCGCTCTTCCATGATGGTGCTTCTTACTCGCTTAACAAACGCGTTATAGGATCAAGACCATCTTCTGTCTCTTTCTCCGATCAACCATAGCATCCTTCGCACGATCAATCATTCCCTCTTCGCCCTCAGCCTTGATCATTACACTTACGTGCTCCCATCCGCTTCATCAGACGCAAAATTACTGCTTCCCGAACCATGCACTACACCGGATATCACAGCACATCTCCACAACGTGCGCTCCGGGCCGTCGACGCGCCCAGGGCACAATCGCTGGTACGACAAGCCGTTTACCCTCATCGTCGAGTCGAACACTCGAGCGGGCGCACTAGGCGAGCATTCTCCATGCGATGCGTTGGTGCCGAGTATTGCTGCAGAGTACGCAGTCGTGGAGGCCATCGATAGGGATGCATTTGTGCAGAGCGAAAGGCTGGATGGTTTATCGACAGGATGGGAGCGCCTCGACTGGGTCGTCGACGAACGAATACAGCGGGAGTGCACGGAAGCCGAGCGGAGAGCGAAGAGGATTGTGGATGACTCGGATGACGGGATCTTGTGGTTTGATGCATATGGAGCCGAATGGATCAGAGACGCTGGTGCGTTGGTCGTTACCATTGCGTTTCGGTGTAGGTCTGGCTCATCGACAATCTGTGCCGCTTTGCACGTCGCGATCCTGACCATTAGCGCGTCTTTCACCTGACGCGTACATTCAGATGGCCCTCCAGCTAGCATGGTATCGGACGCGTGGTTGTTTCACAGCGACGTATGAGACCGCACTCACGCGACTCTTCAAGAATGGACGCACGGAGACCATTCGCACGCTGACAACTGACAGCCGTGCCTTCGTGCTCACGATGACTGACCCACACAGTCTCGTAAGCACGGAACGCCTTACTGATCGCGCTGCATACATACCCTTCGTTGCTGACCTATGATCGTTTCAGGCTCGGACGCGGCATGGACTGCTGCTTCGTGCGGTAAAGACCCACACCAACTTGACACGACACGCGGCGACCGGTCGCGGGATCGATAGACACCTGCTCGGGCTGCAGATGATGCTGCGATCCTCCGATGAGGAGCATCACATCCTCTTCGACGACGAACTCTTCACGCGAAGTCAGACATGGAAGCTGAGTACCAGTGGTTTGAGTGCTGGTCACCAATTCCGAGGGACTGGGTGAGCCTGTATAACGGCATTGAAGAGGTCATACAGCTCATGCTCTTTTGTACAGTTTTGGTGCTTCGTACCCTGATGGGTATGGGATCAATTGTGAGTACATCCGAGTAACGAGAGACATGGTTTTACATTGCGCTTCAGACCTTGCAGATTCTGCCGTGATCAAGTTCGGCATTGAGTCAAAATTCTCCAGTTCTCAGACATCAACGGAGCTATTCAAATCAGCAATCACTCAGGCCTTAGAGGACTTGAGATCTTTATGTACAAATGTTCTTACTGCACACCTGTGATAGAGGGGTTTTTTACTCATTGCATTAGTTGCATACAGTTCTAGACACAGAAATATGGTGGTTATTCTAATAATCACCATTCTCAATGTCATCCAAGCTCCTCCATGCATCTTCATCTCTGGTGGCAGCCATCTCTCCAACCAGAGTATCTTGAGCAGCACCCCAAATAAAAGCCCAAGTTGTGCAAATGTACATTGCACGCTTGCAACGTGTTAGCATCACATTTGTGCGGCGACGATCATTAAGGAAGCCAATTGACTTGGAGCGAACCAGGGAGATGATGATGTAGTCATCCTCATTGCCTATGCATGTAATGATTAGTATTGTTAAAGTCTCAATTGATCTCACTCACCTTGAAAGGAATCAACATTGAAGCACTTATCTTGCCACCTCAACCCCTCACTTTTCATCCTGTTCTCCAGATAGTTTCTTTGAGCATCATATGGAGTGATAATGCGATAACTCTTTTCTTCTTCTTCTAGCCTTGCTGCAATTTCAATGGCAGCATTTCCTTCTTCTTCATTCTATTATTGCAGTATATTAGCATAAGGCTGACGTAAACTGTTAAAACTCACCATCCAACTGGTATCAGATCGCTTTTCACCACTGGGGTCAATATCAAAAAAGTAGCTCAGAGGTTCCTGAACAGGATGTAATGGGTTGGAAGCAAGTCTTCCTTCATATACAGCACTAGAGATGAAATCTCCAATATGTGGTGGCATTCGATCTGTTCAGACATATTAGAATCATCTTCTAGATCTGTTTTCATCACATATATCACATACATTGTATGTCCAATAAAATTGCAGCAGCATGCAAATGCTCAACTTCAAAGACACTTCTCAGGTCTTCAATCTCATCCTGGCCATAGGGTGGCACTGAAAAATTTATAAGAAAATAAACTCTTGAATAACTGCAAAGATGAACTCACATTGCTGATCATCTCCAATAAAACACATTTTCTGAATGGTGTCAAAGTTTTGAAGAGGAGGAACATAGTCATTGACAGCAATCTGACTAGCTTCATCAACAACCAAGATCTTGATGGGAACTTTGAAAGTGAGTTTCTGAACTTGAACATTGGATAACATGGACAGGGTGCAAAGAACCACAGAGCAGTCTTGTAGTAGTCTAGCTGCCTGCTTGAACTGACTTGACTGGATGACATTCTTGTTGATCTTCACATACATATGTTCATGCCTAAAACAAATCAATATATAGAATAAATATCATCATGGACATCAAGACACATACCATTCAAAGTGAAAATCTGCAGACACTAACACCTTCCAATTCAAAAAGCCAACATCAGCCAGCTTCTCTGCAATGTTCTTGACTGCAACATTGGTCTGTGCAACAAGCCAGATGCCACTGTAGCCTGCAGCCACAGCTGATTGGACAAATGCTGCAATAACTGTAGTCTTTCCAGTGCCTGGAGGCCCTTGGATCATCGTGATACGAGTTGTATCTGTCAGAGAAAGCATATGCTTGGCAGCTTGAAGTTGAGAGTCATTGAGTCAATCAGATAGAACAGGGGGAATGGTATCTGTGGATATGAACTCCTCTGGCCAGCTGAACTCCTGACTAGGCTGGAGAATGTACTTCAAGAATGGATTGGTCAAGAGATGAACATGCCCCTGAAAAGCGCGCAGTGAATGATAGGCCTTCTGTCTGTCGACGATGGTCGGCTTCGCTGCATTCAGGGTGGTAACCCCCAATATAGTCTTGCCTTCGAGACGATCTGCTGTTTCAATAGTAGCCGATCGTCCTGCGACGACAGCGGTTCCTCCACGGGTCAAGTATTCTGCGCCGGTGGCGTCACAAACTCTCAGTTGCATATCCTGTGCGCCAAGTATGAGTGGCGATAGATGTTATATAAAGAAGACATACGGAGTTCTTCCTAAACCGATCCTGAAACCGATCAGCCGTCAACTTGGCCTTCTGCTTATTGGTGAACAATGTCTTGAAGTCGTGCGCTGTTGTGTTCGTCTTCTTCGCGGCTAGGCGCTGGTCGCCCCGCGCGAACTGCGCAATCAATTTCACGTACTTCGTTATAATCCTCTCAGCGCTGCACCTTGCTAGACAAGTTGTCATGCAGCTCACCTCGTCATCCATGTCTTGCGTATTCACTCGCTTGACACCATTGAAGCGCTCCTCCATGTCGGCGATGTTCGGCAGATAGCGGGCAACCCACGCCCGGAGAGCGACTGAGTTGAAGCATCGTGGCAGGGACGTGTCCCATGTAAGGTCTTCGAACGCGCTGTCTATGTTCTCCTTGTATAATTGCTCGTCTTCTCCTACTGCGAACTTGATAGCAGCGAATGGGTCACGATCGGAACCCTCTCCTGGTAAGCACGCATCCTGGACGTCGATACCGTTGAGCATGCGCAGTTTACGATCTAGATACAATGCCGCTGCCAAGGGTCCTAGATCAAACGCGTAGAGGAAGCAATCGGCATTGCAAAAGACTTGGGAGGACAACATCTCCCTTTGTGCGTTTGCCTCGTTGTTGAATTGGATGATCAGAGCGACAGTTTCGCTGGCGAGGGCAATGGCGCACAGCGTCCCGGCGGAGCTGTACGCTGGGGAAATACCGATACGGATGGGGATGGGCAAAGGCGACGAGGGCGCGCCCGAGAGCAATTCCTGGATCAGCTCCTCAGTCAATAATGACTCGAGAAGGGTATATAACTTGATAGGCGGTGCATCGCTATCGACCAGGTTCTGGTAGATCGTACGGGTTTGAGGCGTAGACATGAAGGACGGTAACAGGCAGGCCTTGGTGAAGGTGCGCTTGTTGCGAGAATCGATGCGCTCAGCGCTCATGCCCCGTTCTTGCCTCTTTCGGTCCAAGCGTGCTAGGAGCCACGGTCCACAGACGACACTGCCACTCGCCACGCAAACAAAAACAGTGCATATGCAAGGCAACTTCTACACAATACAAAAGATATAGCAGTGTCGATACATGGCTTTGCTCAGTTTAGAATTTGCCAGCCAATACGTCTTGCCAGGTCAACCACGCATCGTCTCCCCACTCATCAGCCAGTTTGCCTATGAGTGAGGCCTTCGCTTTGTGCTGCAAAAACGCACGACTAGTGCAGATTAGCATGCTCTTCTTGCATCGAGTGAGCATGACGTTCGTTCGTCTCATATTTGACAAGAATCCGATCTTCTCAGAACGCACGATGGAGATTATGATATGGTCCTCCTCGTTACCTATGCAACAAATCCAAGGTGTTAAGATTGCGCGAAGAACGACAGCACAATGCAACCGCTTTACCTTGGAAAGAGTCGACATTGAAACATTTGTTCTCCCAAGGAAGAGATGCCGCCTTCAGCCGACTTTCGAGCAAGTTACGCTGCGCGTCATAGGGCGTGATGATCCTCGTTGTCTTGCCCTGCTCATGTAACTGCTTAGCGATGCGGACAACTGCGTCAGCTTCGGATACATTCTGCAACTCATGTGAATATAAAACTTGTCCAACGTTACGGGCACCTACCGTCCAACTGTTGCCGGACTTCTGCTCCTTGCCTTTCGCAACGTCGATCAGACGGCAAGATTGTCGACTTATGATAGAATGACATGTCTTCAACTGACCGCCGTAGACATGTCGCGAGATGAACTGCCCAATGGGCTTTGGCATGCGATCTGACGATTGTAGTTCAGTAATCAATATGACGAGGACCAACAGGTATTTACATTGCGTGTCCAGGAACACTGCGTCTTTGTGTAGATGAGCCAGCTCGAAGATGCTTGAGAGATTGCCCAAGTCGTCCTGACCATATGGGGCGACTGAGAACGAGAGCGCTAGTGTGAGAGCGACGGACAAGCTGGTCAAATCGAACGTACGCTGCTTATCATCGCCAATGAAAGCCAACTTCTTGATCTTGCTTCCGAAGTTGCCGAGTAGAGGTAAATAGTCTCCTAACTCGATTTGACTGGCCTCGTCAACGATGACGGTGCTGAGTGGCACGATCCGTGTGAAACCTGACAGCACTATGCGGGGATGAGATAGCATGCTCAGCGTGCAGAGTATCACTCGTGAACCTAACAAGAGCCGCTCCGTGCCAACGTGGTTATCGGCGAACTCGTCAGAACGTATAACGTTGCGCTCGATTTTCTCGTAGAGGTGTTCGTGCCTGAACGTAGAATGATGTTCAATGGTATTTCACTCCAGAAGCAAAGGCAGCTCACCAGTCAAAGTGGAAATCCTTCGACACAAGGATCTTGTAATCAAGGAATTCTACGTCGACAAGTTTCTCGGCGATATTCTTGACAGCGACATTCGATTGAGCCACAAGCCATACACCTTGATCTCTCCCTTTAAAGCCGTCAATGGACAAGACAGATGCTGCAATTACAGAAGTCTTGCCCGTTCCTGGAGGACCATGTATAAGACATACACGATCCTGCTCATCTTCGGACAGTATGAGATTTACAGCGGAACGCTGGGAAGGATTAAGCAGAGTGGGGTATCGGATGATGGCTTCAACAGGACGTCGTGAGCTTTCACGCGAATTCGTCCTGAATTGGGACGGATCAAGACCGAGGATGCGTCGGACGATGGGTAACTTGAACAGGTTCGATCGACATTGCAACAAGGCGAGCAGGACCTCTATGCGATCTTTCTCCAGGGAAGTGGGTTCTTCGCGACCGACAGTGTACACAGAACGGATCTTCCCATTCATGGGCACTGCCTTCGTTATAGAAATCCTTGCCGATTTTCCTTCTACATGCACGGTACGGCCGTGGGTCGCAACGGTCGATCGTTTTTTCGAAACCACCTCTACCAGTAATTTCTGTGAGAGGCAGTTGTCAACCGCCGTCACATATCACGTTTAGTCGAAACGCACGAACCTGCGTCTGCGATGTCCGGAGACGTGTTTTAAATCGCGTCAGATCAACGTTGATCACACCATCTTTGCTTTTGCGGCTAAATTCTGCAGCAACGTCGTTTTTGACCTTTGTAGGTTTCAGGGCGTGCAATCGATCTGCATCGCGGACGAACTTGCTGATCAATGTGAGTTCCTGCATGCGATGTAAGCAAATAGGAATGAATCGCGGACAGTAGACCTTTGTGTTGTACATCTGCGTGTCTATAGTGGACACTTCCGATAGACCCTTCTCCGCATGTGCGAAGGTCGCCACCATACCGGAAGCCCATGAGCGAAGGGCAACATTCGCCAATTCACTTCGATCGAACGCCACTCCCTGGAAGGTGTCATGCACCTCATCCTCATATAATAACTCTTTCGGTCCTAGAATGCGGAACAATGTAGCGAGGGTGTGGCGGTTGCCGGTCACAATCATTGATTGCAAGTCGACCGCCTTCGAGATTGTGAGCCCATAATCATGATGCAAAGCTGTCGCAATTCTATGCATGTCGAATCCGAGCTTACGAAATGCAACCGCGCGAAGTATCCTATTGCTGATGATTTCGCGACCGCGTAGCGTCTGCGAAAGTTGTTTCCCTGCATTAGATTTACCCTTCTTTGATGGTGTCATCTTGATATACAGGACGTGAGAAGGAGTGGAGAGCGCTACATAAGCGAGAATGCCCTTGGGACCGAAGCGTGCCGCCAGACCAAGAACATCTGAGTCGGCTGTCTTCAAGAATGTGTCGACAATGGCCTCAGTAATTCCCACTTCGGTCGTCTGCATGACGTGGATAGGATCATATGGCGTTTTGAACAAGTTTTGTTGAATCCTGTAGGCCTGAGTACCCATTGCAAAGCGAGTATATAGAAGGGCGAAAGACTAGGGGGAGGCTGCCCGAAAATTAACACAGAGGAGGTTCTTATATAGACTGACAACATGCGTGAGGACACCTGTCGCAGCATTTGCATTAAGTTCCGACGGAAACCTGGAGGATACGGCAGAAATGGCCACTCGAGTGCCTCAGGGCTGTGGCGACCTAGTCAATACGTGTGGGTACCTTCTCTTTCAGTGTCAGATCTGCCAAACTTATGCGAACATTGAAGACTGCTGAACTGAACAGGCAAGCTTCGCGGGACCGAACAGGAAGGTTGTCCACCGTTTGTTTGAGGGGTGTACTAGTTTTTGATCATTCGCCATTCTTGACAGGTCCGGTGCTGATTGATAGCTGGCGCGCATTAGAAATGAGGCCTGAGGCCTGAGGCCCCTTCTTTGCGCAGTATATAAGGATGTCGGGAGCATGTTGAAGACCAGAGGAAGCGCGATGGAGTCGTAGTCGCCGCGCAACGGTGGCGTGACAGCGGCGCGTGACAGATCGTGACCTCTACTCGGCACTGCGGGTGATTGAGCCGAGCATCATCTAATCGTCTTCCTGTCTACATCCAATGGCCACCCCTTTCATCGTTGGTGTGGGCGCAATTGCAGCTGCCGTTGTTGGCAGACAACTCCTTCGCAAGGTAGGCGCGGCCGCCGGCGAGCAATGGGTGAAGGGCGGCTTCAAGGCAAAAATGGATCGAAGGGAAGCAATAGCAATCCTTGGTCTGAGGTGCGTTTCATACAAGCTGGGCTCGCAAACCTGCACCATGCTAAGCTGTCTTTACCGCATGCAGAGACACACCTCAGCTCAAGACAAGATTGAAGGATGCTCACCGTCAAATAATGCTCGCAAACCACCCAGATCGTGGTGGTTCACCATACCTCGCGAGTAAAATCAACGAGGCCAAGGATTTGTTGGAGAAACAAGAGAGGAGATGATATCCTATTTGTACGTCCGCTATATCTTTTGCTCGCATATCCTTGGCTGACACTGGCCGTGTAACCTCACAGCTATCCTGATGATATATCTGTACAATACCCATAATATCAGCTTCCTCTACCGCAAGCTGTGATCATCTTATGTTATGCTTGCCTCCCCGGTCTTCCACTTGAACGATGCCGCCTGCGCCCTTTAAATCCTGAGCTCTGCCCGACAATGTACTCGGTTCTAGTCTCGACTGGCAAAGTGTCTCGCACGTTAATCTTGGAACCTTGGAAGATGCTGACTAAGCAAGGCAACGCTTTTCACTTGCCACTCATGTCCGACTACTCTATTGAGTTGGCGCCATCCGAGCTCGGGACGAAAGAACAGTGAGTTGCACGATAACCTCACGGGAGCTGACCATAGAGAACGTTGTACATAGCTGGGATAATGTGTACTCATCAGAGTTGTCAAATTTTGAAGAAATCGGCGACGAAGGAGAGATATGGTAGGTCAGCCTCGATGCCAGCTGATCAGGTTTCAATCACGCCCATCCGTCCAGGTTTGGAGAGGACAGCGTAGAGAAGATGGTAAAATGGGCCATGGGCAACGTGCCGCCTGAAACCGCTCCCTTCGTCCTCGAGGTCGGCGCTGGAAACGGCAATCTGCTCTTTGCGCTGCGCAAGGCGGGATATGCAGCGGATCGGATATGCGGCGTGGATTATAGCGAAGACGCAGTTAAGCTCGCTCAAGCAATCGCCACGTCCAGGGAGCACGCAGATGAAGCGGACGGCGATGCGAGGGGTACCGATGCTATCCATTTCGCTGTGTGCGACTTTCTGAGAGAGGACGTTCCCCTGCTGCGCGATATGCCATCCCAGCACGAGGGACCTGCTATATGGGATCTCGTATTGGACAAAGGGACCTTCGATGCAATGGCGCTGGCGGGGAAAGATCAGAATGGCATATCATTGGCCGAGAGTTATCCGACTCGAGTGGAAAGGGTCGTAAAGCCCGGTGGATTTTTTCTTATAACCTGTGCGTGCCGTTATCCTGCTTACTGGCTGGTAATAGCATGCATATTTGTTCTGACTGCCTTATTGCTTAGCCTGCAACTTCACTGAAGAGGAGCTCAAGTCCAAGTTCACAATCCCGGAGACCAGGTTGCGCTATCAGTAGGTATTGTCATTGTCGATGTCATAGCGAATTCAAGCCGCAGTTTGACAGCTCTACGATATCGTTTCCAACGTTTTCTTTTGGAGGGAAGAGCGGAAATGTGTACTCGAGTGTAGCATTCGAGAAAGCAGATTGAAACTATGCTGTGCCGTGGAATAAAGATATAGCGCTCATGTGTTTAACTAAAGTCCAGCGACGACGTGACGATGTCCATCCCTGTCCGCAGAGTGTCTTTTGCGACCTGACTTGCCCATTTGATGAAACCATTGTCTTCGCTATTGTCACCCTTGAACGCCTCGCTGATGAAGTGTATCAGCCCAACAGAGAGGTTCTGCATCCGCGTAGCCTTCATAAACACTTCTTCTAGCGGACCTCTGTTCCTTGTCGTCGGAAAAACGTTGCGTTCGCCGCTGAGCAGAGGTGTGGAGACCTGTGTGCTAATAAAGATCTGGCTCAACAATTCCTTAAGGAACGTGTGTGACTGCTGCTTCAAGATCGTGAAGTCGACAGGCTATAAGGCAATGAGTAGAAGCCGTCATCTTATATACATAGAGCGTACCTTCAGAATCGCGAGGGTGCAACAATCCTTCGCGACCCACCACCCGTATGCCTTCGCGATGTTCCTCATCCTCGTCGACGAGATGTGTTTAACGTTAAATCCGGAGTCTTCGCCCAAGTTCTTGATGACCTCCGCGCCGCCGACGTTCGTCTCGCCGAGATCGCGAAGGAAGTCCCACAGGCAGAACTGTAATGTCACCGTGTGTGAATGAGTGCTCCTGCATAACTGCTGTCCTATGAGTGCATAGTACGGGTTGTATGACTTCTCCTAGAAGGACTGCATGAGCTAGTGTCTCCGAGAGTGTAGGTGGACGCATTACATTTCCACAGCAATGTAATATGACACGGATGATCTCGCGCTGCTGAACCTCGGTCATTTTCAGCTGCGACAACCTCTCACAAGCATCCACATAGTCCTGATATATCATCAGCTACGAATTGAACCAATCGGCCCATGTCACACACCTCGCTGCTCATGAGCACGACGAAGATTCCCCTCCGAATCTCCGTGTTCATCCCTTGCTTCCTAGCCAGCTTGAGCAGCGCGTTCTCGCTCAATGTGTCCGCTTCATCTTTCTCAGCAACCGCGCACTGATTCTCTTGATGATCTACGAGCGGGTCGCCTCCCCATGCCGCGCCGACGAGCCACCACTTGCCCTTGCTTTCGGCAGAGTGCAGGTCCTCAAGTGAAACGCGCAGCGGCTCATGAGAGAGCACTGGGAACGCATAAGGTATTGCTCAGCAGATTATGGCGAGAAGACATACCATGACGCTTCTTGCTCAGACCAGCGAGAAACTTCTTCAGCCGTTCAACCGATTCGCCTCCTGCAGTCGGCACGGCGTTACGCTTGAGCTTGTTGTTCTTGAGGTTCGCGAGCGTCTCGACCATGAATCGAGTGCGAGAGCTGCAGCAATGATAAGTACATGTACGGACAGCCAAGCAGCTAGACATACCTCATCGCGTTCGCTTCACCGGACAACTTGGAGTGCACGATTTGAATGATGCTCTTCAACGCCGTCGGGTCATCTTGCCTCAGCTGTTGCCCAGAATCTGAGAACAGTCGGTGAGATCAATCGCAAGAGCTGGCAGTATATGCTTACTTCGGGTGACCTTTAGGAGGAGCTCGACCTTGAACTCGGTGAGATCGCCATCGAGCAATCCGCGGATGACGTCGCAGACCAAGACGCAGGAGATGACTTGGAAGTTATATAACTCCGATAATAGAATGATGAGGTTGGAACATTCTTTTCCGATTGTCTCGTCGTCTTCCTGTTGAGGTTCCCCGGTAGCACCATTTATCGCTGCCGCTGATACTCGGCCCGTCTGGACGTCGGCAAAGTGGCGCTCGTATGCGGCCACTACGTTCTGCACGAAGGAGGCCGCTGCAGAAGTGCGATCAGACTTAGACATCACTGATAAATCACAGGGTATACACACCAAATTCGATGCCGATGAGTTTATGCAAAGCGGAGACGAAGGCAGCATGAAGCACGACATAAGAATCTAGCAGCATTGAGTGCGCCGAGATGCCATCGATGATGAGGGCTGTTAATGTCGCCGTCGCATCTGCCAAGGGCAATTGCAAATGTCATTTCCGCGCAATGAAGCAGAGCAGAGACATGCTACGTACCATGTCTCCGCTGGTTGCGGTATATTTCTTCCACACCGTCTATGATAGAAGCTATGTTCTGTTCGCTCATACTGCGCAGCGCCCGGATGTCCATGTCAGCACTTAGCACTGAACTACCGATATCGACCATCATACCGATTAAGCAGACCTTTCAGCTGTCTCGTAAGTTTGAGGTCGGCCTCTGCATTGCCTTGTCCACCGCCTTGTGAATGATCCCGCATATGCGGCGGAACATACTTTGATCCTGCGGCCGGTCCAATCACTGTAATGCTGCAAGATATGCTGAATGCTCACCTGGCATAGGTGCAGCAGGTGAATCGTCTGCTTTCATACTTACTTGAGGGGTTTTTACTGGCTGTATGGTTTCCTCCTCACTGTCAAATCCAGCCCATTCTTCGCTACCTTCACCTCCAGAAGGTCCTGGATCTTCTTCCGGCTCATTCCCCTCCTCCTCGTCACTTTCCGATGACTCCCCAGTATCTAGCATATCCTGCTCAGCGTCATCATCTGCAAAGCCTTTCATGTCATTCTGCAAAAGAGGTCTCGTTAACTGAAAATCCCCCGACAACCATGGGCAATGTACCTTGGATTGTGACACTTGCGAGAAAATAGAGCCCTCCATCGTGTCTAGGTCATTTAAGAGGTCTTCCAATAGTGGTGATCAGTAGGTAGATATTGTCCAGGACAGTGCTGCACTTACCGTCTAAACCATCTTCTTCACCTGTCCCGTACTTCACCGTTTTCCTTCCTCTCTTCTTCCAGCCCAGTTTTGCCTCCAAATACGCAATGTACGCGTCTTCCTCTTCTTCTTGCTGCGTGCGAGGGGATACAGATACTGCAGGTGACACGAAGTTCTTGCGGCGACTCGGGTTTGCTTCAAACTGTCGTGTTAATCTCTCCAGCGTGGTTGTTTTCGATGGCTTTGGCTTTGACATTCCATCCCTTGCATGCTGTTCGTCACTCGTATCAGATTCATCATTTCGCCCATCGTTCTTCTTCTTTCTCTTTCCAGATGCTCCCGGCGGTGCAAGAGCAGAAGGTGATATCTTGAGCTTCTTTTTCGCTGGAGAGTCAGAATGTTCGTGCGCGGTGGGGCGTTTCGCAGGAGGCTTTGCCACATGACTATGTGCTGAGTTGTAGTGTTCAGCTTTTTGCTGCTTCTGCTGATGCCGCGCCTGTTTCCGGGCCACTTTGCGAGAGAGTTGGCGAACTCCTGCTTTTCGTCTGTGGTTATGCCCATCGTCTACATCGTAGGATCAGCATGCTGAGCCAGTCAGCAATATACACGGTTCTTACTAGACTGACCCTCGAGCTCCTCGAGGAGAGCTTTAGGCAGCGCAGGGCCAGTGCGTACGGACATTGATGCGAATAAATATGATGAAGGGCTTCATATCGCGCTGAAGCAGGACCTTCCTCTTATGGTGTACAAGCGCCGGATCGGCCATCGCCACAATCGCGTTCTGCCGCGCAAACAAAACACAATAACGCGACCGGTCTCCCTGTGCGATTTCTCATGTATCTGAACGCTGCTGTCCCTCATATAGACCCTGTGAGAAGCGCATACTGGACTCTCTGACGAGCAAATACTGGTCTGCGATGCCTAGTAGCAAAATGGAAACAGCTGTGCCTTCTGAATCGACCTTTGTCAAGGCTGTACCATCTATCGCAGACCCGACCGCACCGTTGACGGAATCCTACACATACCATTCACCCACTCCGACCGCTCCTGGACCATACATTATGGGCGTTGATGAAGCAGGGAGAGGACCTGTTCTTGGTCCAATGGTATACGGCGTGGCATATTGCCCAGCGGCATATCAAGAGGATCTGGATAATCTTGGGTTCGCAGGTCGGCGGCCACGTCCACTTTCAGTGCCATAGCTTCTGAACCATCTAATTTCCCGTCAGACTCGAAGATACTGACGGCTGATACGCGCTCATCACTGTTGGAGACCTTATGTTCAGATCCAGAGAACCTTGGGTGGTCCGTCCGGGTCCTCAGGTACGTAACCAGTCTCATCAGATGCCATTGCCACAGGCCCATCGTGCCTTCACATCAGTCCTCAAGCTATTTCATGTGGTATGCTTCGGCGGCCACCGACGAACTTGAACCGTCAGTCTGAGCAAGCTACGATCATCCTCATCCGCGGAGTGCTCCAAAGCGGTATCCAGCTGTCAGAAGCGCGTCTTTCTCATAGGCGAAATTTACGATTTTATGCTGAAACGTCTCTCTTCACAGGTGTATGTAGATGCATTGGGTCCCACGAAGACCTACGAGGCATACCTCTCCTCCCAGTTCCCGGGCATCAACTTCACAGTGACCGCCAAGGCCGACTCGAAGTTCAAGATCGTAGGTGCTGCCAGCATCGCTGCGAAGGTCACCCGCGATGCATGGGTCAAGGGATGGGTTTTTGAGGAGCACGACCTACCCGATGCTGGCGAAAGCGGCGTATCGAAGACAAAACCACGATGGAGCAAAGAATTAGGAAGCGGCTATCCATCTGGTAAATGTTCGAAGTATGCAGAGGTGACTGGCTAATGATGAACCATGTAGACCCGAAGACACAAGCATGGATCAAGAACTCGCTGGACCTTACATTTGGTTTTCCCTCGCTTGCCCGCTTCTCGTGGACGACCATTAAGTTGGTCCTCGACAAGGAGGCTCACGCGGTGCAATGGTGCATTCTCTCACGACGGTCTGTAGAGGCCATGCAACTGATCAACTCATTGCAGGACCGATGATGGACAAGCATCGCTCGTGGAAGCCTTTGAGAGTGGAACGGGGCTGGACCACGGCCGTTGTGCAGTCACGAAGGACCTGGCAATCAAAAGTGTCGCGACCCTCTGAATTTCATTCACCTGCACATTATCCCACTTATATAACCCACACTTGTATAATAGTTTACTGAACAACTCTGATATTACACTACCGTGTCCACATGTCTACTCCATTCAAGCCTCCAAGAGATGGTTGACACAAAATCTACCGCTTCTTCGGAGGCGGCGAGCCTGCAGCCTCTCCTACCGCCTTGCGTTTCGCGCCGAGCCCGATGACCAGCTTCGTGCGGTCGCTCGGAACGGGAGTGCCTTCCTTTGAATACGCGAAGGGCTCTGCTGCCGCAGAGATTCTCGAAAACCCAGGCCGGGGCGCAGGAGAGCCAGTGCTGGTGGGCGATGCGCCAGAGATGATAGCCGGGGAACCCATGAGAGTAGGGCTGCCATTGGCCATGGGGGCGGGCAGTGTCATGAAGCCGGACGAGTCGAGCTGTGGCGTCGAGGACTTAGCAGCATTCTTCTTCTTGTTCCTTTTCTCCGTCTTGCCCTTTGATAACGGCTGGGCATCGAGAAATTCCGCAGCTTGAGGCACGGCACTGAACAGAAGTTCGTTAGGTCGGCTACATATCTGCACGATGGAGTGGACTTACCCTCTGTTTCCAACAGACAGCACAAAGTGCGCCTGACCTGCCTTCTCCTGTCGGATCTGGAACGCCTGATTCATGCTCAAAGGCGTGTCACCGCTAGCCATCGCCTCCTTTTTCTTCTCCTCTGCGATCTTCTTCAACCGTTTTTCGGTCTTTATCCTGCCAGAGCCCTTGCCATGGAACTTGTGCGAAAGCGCCTTCCAAGCCTCCTTTGGCGTGAGCTCACGTCCAAATTCATCGTAGTACACGATGTTGACATCCGGCTTGTAATTCTTGAAGGACTCCAAGTTCTGTCGAGCCTCCTGCTGTTCGCGAAGACGGTTCTCGTACTCGCGCGTGGCCTGATCCTTGTTCCCCCCGCGCATCTTGGCACGTTCCAGCTCTCGCTGAGCGACCGTGCGGCGATAGTCTGCCAACCAAAGGTCGCGCTGCAGCTGCACCCTCTCTCGCTCCTTTTGGTCGGCAGTAGGCGCGGCAAGGATGCCTTGCTGGCGCAGGATGTTCAAAGTAGACGCCATGCCAGCGCTGTACGTTTGCTCTGTAAGCGTACCGACAGGGACCTCCGTGCCCTCTGCGGCAGCCTTCTCAGCAGCTTCGGTCTCCTTGATCGCATTCTCGATCGCATTGAGCATCTCTTCGTCATCCTCTTCCTCCTTGACTCTCACTTCACCTGCTTCAAGCTCTTCCACGGCCTCCTCAACCTCCATTTTGACATCGACGGACGGTGAGCGTGGCTTGATAATCTCCATGGGCACTGGTGCTGCTGTTGCAGCAGGAGATTCCTTCTTGACCAAGGTTGGCTCGTAAGTAATGGCACGGACGAACTCTGAGGTATCGTCAAAAGTCAAGCCACTCTCGCCATCCGCATCACCGTCCTCTCCAATAGTGATAACACCGTCCCCGTTCGGAGCCTCTGACCTCGTGCGTTCTTCAGCGACTACGGATGGTGATACTTCAGCATCAGGACCTGTCACGTTATCGAGCTGCTCACCTCGTCTAGCAATGTCCTCTGGAGACAGTTTCTTAGCTTTCTGTAACTTCGCCCTGCGTGAACGGGCAAGAGCTGCTTGTAGCTCGTCGTCATCTACGAAATTCGTGTCCAGATTACGAGGTCGTGGGACAATCGGCTTCTCGTCTACCTGCATCTGATCATCACCATTGGGCGGGGGAATGTCGTGATCCTCTGCCGCGACTCGACGAGAAGCCCTCTTCTTCTTCGTCTAAATAAGATTGCGAATCCGTTAGAAATGAGGTGATGAGCATCGGTCGAATACTCACTTTAGGCTTCTTAAACCCGACGTCCCCTTCTTTGAGGTAATCTTCCGATTCAATATTCTCTACAGCTACCGTTGAGTTTCCGTCCCATCAGAATGCTATATACTTACTAGCGTAGTCTATAGAGAGCAAGGACTTATTCACAGTGGCAGCTGCCTGCTCCCGCTCGTCACGTCTAGACTGAGTAGAGGTGACGTTCGTGCCCAACCGAAATCCCTAAACGATGGCGTATGAGGTGCGAAAACGGGTAGAGAATCATTACACATACGGTCTCTTTCGGGCCCTCCAGGAATTCGTCGTATTTGGATAGCAACGACCGCTTCATACCAGCTGCACCAGGAGCGAACTCCTCATCATCGTAACCAGTGTAGTCTCGCCTCTTTATCTTAAGCTCTTGGTTCTTCTTCACGCGCTCATGCTCAGCCATTTCTACGTTCTGTAGCTCGTCCTCTGTTCATTCGTCACACGTTAATATGCCACAGATTCCAATGCACGTGAATGACAAACCTTCATTGTCAAGGATCCGGCTGTCTTTCAGTGTTAATATGCGTGCTTCGCCTTCGTCCATGCCTTCGAAGTCATGGCTGACCCTCAAGCCGGCGAGGTCCTCTGACAAACAGCACTTCTTAGACATGACACAGCGAGCATGGCACATGACAACTCACTTTCTGTGTACTCTTCTTGAAAGGCCTTTTCCATGTCCTCAAGCTCCTCCTGCCTCTTCCTAGCAAGCTCTTTCTCCCTCTTCTTGCTCTTCTTGATCCACTTCAAAGTGTCGTCTACATGGCCGTCGGCATCACCGAGAGTGGAACCTTTTAGCTTTGCATTGAGCTCCCGGCGATTCCTCACCCTAGATAGACGGTCCTATGAGTATCTCCGCTGACGATGCGCATGGGCCTGATCGCCCAACAGAAGGTAGAAGTAGCTGTCTCACCCGTCGAGAAAGAAGTATACTCACTTCGAAATATTCTCCTGTATTCTTTTTGCTTCCCGCTCTTTTGCTTCCTTCTCTCGTTGCTTCGCATAATTGTCCTCCGCTTGCTTCTCTCTGTCGTCCGCAGGAGCGCTATCGTCGGTCAGAGGCTTGAGGCCGAGGGAGATACGAATCTTGTTCGTCTCCTCCAGGCTGATGCTCTCTTCCATGGACATGGTGTGCAGCGCTTGTTTCACAGGGACGGGTGGGAGATGTGTAGAGCGGAAGCAAGGACTGACGGGTGACGATAGTTGAAGGTGAGTCGATTGAGTCGACTGTGAGCTGATGTAAATGAGACGCGATGTGCACCTGTCGGAGTTTGAATGTCCAGCCTTATTTAGTGAGCCTTTCGAGATTTCAAACTATTACATAATGCACTAGCACCTCCGAGTTCAATTCAAAGTAACTTGTAAGATGGCGAGCGCAGGCAAGCAAGTGAGCAGTGATGATAGCAATTGCTACGCCTGAAGATACAAGAAAGACCCCGGCTGTGTCAAGGGTTCGCCGTGATAACCAATACGCAGCTTGAAGAAACTCCTACGCAAGCAATAGATCTCTCACTCATACGCTTTCTCACTGGATTTGTTCTCAGTCTCCTCCTCGTCCGCGATCATCTGCCACAATTCGGGCCCATCGCGGATGATGCACTAGGCGCAGCGTGATTAGCTGTGCAGCTCCTAATTGATGGGGTTAATACTCACAATGACGACCTCAACGGCAATAAGGACTATGATGATAAGCTCCATACGATGCGCTGAGGTCTAAAAGGCGCTTAAGCAAGGTGCAAGTGATGCAGCTGCATCAAAACACTTACCTCCGTCAGGAGTTCTCGCAAGACCGATTGCATCTGACACGAGACTCAATCATAGTGTTCGTTAGTAGAGAGAGGTTTATCAGTCACCTCCGCAGCATATGTAATTTTGTCATTAACTGCACTAGTTCGGGACCTGATCTCGAGGGCATTGCTCAGAGAGTTAAAGTAGCCTGACCGAATACGAACGTCAGCAAGGGACTACACATAAAACCGGTATCGCTCACTTTCGAGCACAGGCTCAGCCCAATACAAGTCTGGTGTATCAGAGAAGTTCTCCCGATTAAGATTTAGACCCTGTCGGAACTTGAGCAGCGCTCCCAGCTTCTTCACCAGTGCCTTGCGACTAAGGCCAGGCTTCCCGGTCCGTTGGAGAGTATCCGGAAGCAGAGCGACAGATGACAAATAGTTGTCCAGCAAGACTTCGAGTGCAGAAAGAGCAGTAGAGCGAGATAAAGCCTGGGAGAAGGCGTAACGGGCTAACAGCGTTTCGCGAGGCAGCGCAGGAGTGGGTAGGTCGCTCGGTACTGTGTACTCCGAGTTGAACGGCGGAGTCTGACCGAGAATAATCAAGTCTCCCTGCAGACGTGTATTCCTGTGGCGATGACAGTCAGACAATAAGAATTATACGATCAAAAGACTGCTTACTCTTCAGAATCAGTCACAAACTCCAGATCTTCTGTCTCCGGCTCCTTCAGCGGCGCGACCTCCGCTTTTGATTGCGTTATAACCTTCCAAGCAAACTTTTTTGCCTGGTCCTCTCCAAGCCCCCAGCACACGAAGCTCCCGTTGGCGAATATGAATATCTCACCCTCTTGATTATCCTCTTCCCATTTGGGTACCCACCACGCGTCGTGTAGCAATTTGGCAGTCGATGGCAGATGCTGTCGCAAATTCTGGAACAAGTAACGCTCCGCGGTCGCAAGCGTGAAGACAGGTCGGATGTCACTGCGAGTAGGAGTTGGATTGGACCGAATGGGTAGCGACGCGGCGGCTGTCCTCCGAAGTGGGGTGCTCGCTTTAGGTTTTGGTTTAAGTGGTTCATTTTCTGCTGCGGCTTGTCTTGTCGAGTACGCTAGCCCTCTGCACATGTAGCGGCTCCAACGGAGACCGGCCGTTGGTGTTGAACGACATCTTGGTGCACTGACGAAGCAGTGCCGAGATCGGAGATGAGCAAGTGCAGCACTAGACATCTCAGCAAGGCGGTCGTTAATATTGAAATTCATACTCCCTTCCACACAACTCACAGGTAAATAAGACTCCTGCAGGAAGAAAACTTTTACGACGGCCTGATCGTCCGGATGAAAAGATGCGGGCGTTATTCGGACAAAGTGGACGCGGCCTCAGCGCTCAGCGCTCAGCCACCAGCGCGTTCCGTCGGCCGAATCCCGAATCGCAAGTGAGGCGCGCGGTCGTTGATATTAATATTTATATATATATTGACCTCAACACACATTGACAGTGAGCGAGAAGGACTTCATAGCAGAGCATGGAACTGTCATAAGTACTTTTGGTATGCTACAGGGTGCGGAAGGAAGATACATCAAACGGCTCAAAGCAGCAAACAAAAAAGGATGCAACACTTCACGACATCTCGATGTCTTCATCCTCATCCTCACTACCATCGATGTCTTCCCAACTGTCCTCCTCATCATCTACACCATCCTCTAGAGATGTCTGAATTTCTAGGTCTTCCAGCTTCGCAATGAGTTCTTGTACATGCTCGAGGAGAGGCTTATCAGGATGTTCTTGATTGATGTGTAACTGTCGGCAACCGCAATGAGCTCTGCAATGTGGCTGAATGTGACATATCTGTGATGTACCATTTTACAAGTCTCCAGGCAATCTCTAGCATCGCGGGCTAGCTCCTCCCATGAGAGCTCATCCAATTTGCCTCCGTTTTCTTGCGCTTGTTCGGCCATGAGAAAGAAACACCAGCCCTCCAGGTACCATGCTTCCACTTCCTGGTCATCGGTAGCCATCACTCCTTGAAGGACGAGCAATGCTGGGGTGAACAGCGACAGCTCGAGGAATAGCTTAACAAGGGCGAGACGAGTTGGTATTGGTGGAAGGCGAGGATCGTCTATCCAGATCAGCAATTTATGAGCCCTGTGTAACAACCGAAGGAGATGCAAGTTAGAACATACCAAGCTCTAAGTCCTTCCATGCTGTCCAAGCCTTTTCAAGGCATGTTTTTGCATCATCCGGTCTTTGCTGAGACAATCGCACGGATGCGAATGCTTGCAACGCCTCGGTGTTTCCAGGGTCTGTCTGTAGCGCCATGTTCAACAGATCTTCGCATACCTTCTCCGCTGCGGGGTCGAAACTAGAGAACCGTAGATATCATTGGATTCGCGAGCAGGAGACACAGACACGCACCACAGATCGTATGAGGGATCCATCCAAATCTCCACCATACCAATCAGAGCCCGCACAATATTTTGCTTGAGCTCGGTCTCGTCATCATCATCAGTGGAAACGGACGCAACGGCGCGCTCTTTGCCTTTCAGTTGAGCCATGAGAATATCCACGGCTGCCTGATAGTGTTTGAGGGCCATGTGTGGGTCATCGTTCAGCTGTGCAAGATAGAGATGTGCGGAGGGAGGAGGAGGCGTCGAGGCTGCTGGATTTGAAGACAAGAGAGACTCGAACGTCTGCCATGTTCCAACTAATGTCAACGGCGTCATAGTGCTGTAGCATAAAATGAACCTGAAGACTCACAATTCGAGCTTCGTCAAGCTCCCCCGTCTCCAGCTGTACAACACCCAACATGTCTTTTGCTTCTGCATGATTTGGCTCTCGCTCGAGCACGCGGTGCACGAAACGCTTCGCGAGTTCATAATCGCACTGTACGATTAGAGACTGTGCTTTCTCGACTAGCGACGCTATTGACGGTGGCGTTGCTTTGGCTTCTCCTGCAGCAGACTTCGTAGAGGCAGATACAGCCTTTCTTGTCTTCGCTCTTGCACGTCCCATTGCGTGCAGGCAGACACCGACCAGAATTTTAGCGGAATGGCTATGATCATGATTGATCGGTTTGCTTTAAGAGTGGCTCGGCATTGGCCGCATCTTCAGCGCTTGTGGCGAGGGTGGTCAGCGTTCCTTTACCGCTGCATCTTTCAGTACGCATTCCTGTAATCAATCACGCATTCTTCTTCATGAACTTGAACGATAAGGGAAAGCCCAGACCTCTAGAGGACGATGGGCTTTTCCGCGAAAGACTCGAGACATTGTTTGACAAGCACCTGACGGACCTCCGGACTTTCGCTGAACGTGAGGCTCGTCCGCTCGATGAGGTGCGCCGACTCACACGCCGATGTTTGTGACACGCTGCAGCTGGGAATGCGAAAACAGGTCCGGCGGTCTATGTCAGAGCTGCATTGCAAGTACCTGTTTGATGCTTCGGTCTCCTCGAGGAGCACTGTGCAGGAACGCAGTGAGTGGCTCAACATCATTCGCTCGGGAAAGAGCCCCATCATTTATCTAGTCCTTCACGTATTGCGCACAACGTCTCGAACCTTTGAGTCTCTGCAGACAATAGCAGGACTTCAATCATTCTTCCTAGTCGTGAACCCGACCGACCTTTCGGATGAAGGATTCCTTGGTGGAACTTTATTGGGTCGTGAATTCTGGAGGTGTCACAGAGGATGCGGAACGGCAGGGGCAAAAGCTTTTCAACATGAATGTGTGAAGGCACTCCAGATGAAAGCGCAAAGCTCTATGCATGGCAACATGGAAGCTCTTCCTCCACTTGTTAATGCGCCACAGCAAAAGAAGGGACCAGCCGGCACCTTAAAGGCGGAAGTGTATTCTAGTGTACGCAACGCAATACGGTAAGCGTATGTTCCATTTGCGATGACATCCCTGCCTCGTTCGTCGACGGTTGACATCGTTCCCAATGTAGCACTGCTTCGGGTATCCGTAATGCTGAGATGAAGTGGAAGGATCACTCGAAGCTGGATGTTTATGGCATTCGCCTCGTAGGCTGGCCGACAGACGTCCCAATGGAAAACCCGTCATCGCTATCTGTCGCACAGAACAAAGTAGTCCTGCATGCACTGAACAGCGGAACTATGCACTTTGTGCGCATTACGGACAACTGCAGCGAATCAGTCATATCGTCACCGCGACAGGAAGCAATTGTGGACGATATGCTGGACTTTTCCTGGGTCTGCAATGATCCGGAGGTGAGTTCTCTTCCTTCCCCACGCACGTGGCCTGTAATCTTCTGTACTTGTTTCGGATAATGAAACACGCGATTTGTCATCCTTTGCAGGAATCGACATCCATAGAGCCAGGCAGCCTCACACGCGTCGACAATTCTTCCACGAGTGAGAGTTCCCAGCACGGAACTGTCACTGCCGAGCTTCCTCAGGACTCATCCGCTTTGATGCACACGAAAGCTGTGGAAGACCTTCCTTCCCTGAGAAAAAGGCACAGGTCCGACAGTTCAGCGGTCTCATAGCTGGTCCGTGCGCCCGCCGTTTGGCGTAGTTCTGGTCGATTGGACATTCCGTGACCATGTAACAATGTTTGTTATGGTACCTATACCCGTGCGCATGTATCGCGTAGTAGACATCATATTGCTCGAAATACAGCCGGTGTTCTGTACTGCATACGTGTGCAAAGGTCAATCGATTGCAACGGCATCCGCCGGCCGCCGGCAGATCACATTGTGAGTTCAATCTCCCCTGGTCGCACAAAACTGCAAACTAGGCAGGTCAGTCCTCGCGCAAAGCCGTGCGAGGCCATCGTGGACGCTAAGGCTCCTTCACAGCGACTACCATGTCCATGTTCTCTTCGATATTCTCGTAAGTTGAGACGCCATCGTCATCAGTATCATATCTGATGGACATGCAGAACATCTGCCCCGAATGATCCCAAGGCGGCCAACTTCCACCCAGTCTCATCCAGGTACAGCGCCTCGGACTTGTTTGGAGAGCTCGAGCCCAAGGATACTGAGTGGACGTGCCCTGGAGGGTTCGCGGTCGAGACGCAGACCTGGTATAACCAGCTCGAGGATGGCACCTCTCTGATGTGCCAGGTGATCCACTCTGCAGTCGGGTAAGCCGCTCTTACACTACCAATCTTGGAACGTTCCGTGATTCACCCTGTTGCTTTCGCATAGTGTATGGTATCCTACCATCCAATTCACCTGCAAACTGTACAACCCTGCGACGAAGGAGCGCATCTGGAAATCCATCAACGTCACCAACTTTGTCACCCCTCCACCCGGTCTCGACAAACGCTCGAGCAAGGCGGATGAATTTTCTATCACACACCACTCAGACCCAGGGTCCGACCACCCCGAGTCCTACCACATCCGCGTCAACCTCTCCGATGACTTGCAGATCTCGCTCGACGTTAAGCGCCCTGCTTCTGCACCTGGCTGGAAGGTCGGCAAGGGTCCGAAGGGCGGCTTTTCCTATTTCGGGTACGATCTCGAGAACCCGGATGGCTATGTGGTCCATCGCTTTTGGCCGTGGGACTACGCGACGGGTACGATCATCCGGAGTGGACGCGCACAGTCGGTGCAAGGCCCAGGTATGTTTGTGCACGCGATTCAGGGCATGCGTCCGAATCTCGTCGCGGCACGATGGAACTTTGCGCACTTCACAAGCCCCGAGTACGGTGGTTGCAGCGCGGTGCAGATGGAGTTCACGACAACGGACTCGTACGGGCGCCATGGATCGGGTTCCGGGTTCGTCGCGGTGAATGTCGGCTCGCTCGTGCTCGGAGGCAAGCTAGTGGCCATCACAGCGGAGACAAAGTGGCCTGATGAGGCGCTTCCTGATAGCGAGGGTGTGATATCGCGCGCGGTGCACACGAAGCTCGCACACGATCCTGACACGAGTTATGATGCGCCGATGGAGTTGGTCTTCCGCTGGGCAGGGCCGTCGCTCCTGCCAGAGGCACCGGGTGCCCTCGACGCGACGCTCACAGTCGATGTCGGCCCTCCTAGCTCCTACAAAGGGCTGATCGAGAAGGTGGATGTCCTGGCGGAGATCCCGTACGTCATCAAAACGATGGTGAACTACGTCGCAGGCACGAAGCCCTACATATACCAGGTAAGTTGCAGCTCCTCCATCGTTCTGCAAGGTCAATACTAATGCAAGCCCTTTAGTGGTTCAATCCCGCCAAGCTGAACGTACAGGTCCCTAGTGGACTACTACCCGACGTATCTGGGACGGTGGAAATCAACGGCACCCTCTACAATGAGGCGACCTTCATCTCGTAGATCCACTGACGATCATGATCATACCTCCTCTCCACGACGCACTAAATGCTGATACCTTGTCGACAGTAGACGGAATTGTAATCATGTGTATATCTAGCGACTTTATGCTTGAACGTGATCGACGTCAAGTTCTGAACCTCTGCATGTTGCACTACTTAAGATCTGCGCGATGTGAGACCCACTTGCCACCAGCCTCTATGCATCGAGTGCCGCTTCTGAGCCTAGGGGCGCCTGCCCTAGAGGTGCCCCGCGGGTTGAACAAAATGCTGAAGATTGTCGGTATGGACGACAGCCAGGCACAATAGTGTACCGGCTGGGGCCAGTACAAATAAACAATCCCCTCGCCTTTTACTAGGGGATTCCGTGTACTAGCCCTGCTGCAAAGCCGATCAGCAATTTCTTGACACACTGCTTCATCTTGAAGCTCCATCTTCTGTTTTTGCCAACTTCGGGTGCACATAAGTCATTATCATAGTACTTTGTTGACTGAACTAACTTCATTCTCAATGCATAATTGAGGTTGTCGCGCGATGAAAGAAGGAAAATAGTTTGTTAGGCTAGCATTGCAGTGTTGGGTTTTGAAAGACATCGATCCTAAAGATACATCAGATGCATGCGAGCGAAGACTATACACAGAATGACACAATTATGAGCACTAAATGTCCCCCTGAATATAACATCACTTCATCCAGCCATCCTTTTAGATAATGAGCCAATTTAAGCATCCTCCTTACCCATCTGCGCCGACCGTTCCTCCCTCGCCTTCCGCCTCTCCTCCTCCCACCGCTCGAGCTCTCCCTTCAGGCGCTTGACGCGCTCACCGTTCATGGGATGAGACGAGCCCATCAACAACCTCTGCAGCCTGTTCTCGGTCTGATCGGACACCGCGCGCTCCTCCGCGAGCGCAGGGCTGCACTCGGCGTTTCGCGGGGTCTCCTGGCGGCCCTCCCAGAAATGTACGGCGTCTCGCGGGTCGAAGCCTGCGTGAGCGAGAAGCCTGCCAATATCAGCGGCATCAGTGTGCAGCAAGTACTTTAAAAATCGAAGGGGACGAACCTCGCAGAGACGATGTCGGCCTCGACCTCCTGCCGCTGGCTAGTGCAGTACTCGGTTAGACGGATGATCTCGCTCTCACTTGCTTTGCCAACCCGAGCAAGCGCGTCGTTGATGAAGGGACCAACTGCACGTGAGAGGAAGCATTCAAACGGATGGCAAACGCGGGGGAGATAGTGTGCACGTACAGAGCATGGTCACCGGGAAGAGCAGCGCCCGAATGATGTCCGTCGCGATGGAGATGGTGCCCGGCCATATGATAGACCCAGAAGACAGCGTTTCGATATGGTGCGACAAGACCAGATGCGAGAGCTCGTGCGCGAGGAGGATGGCGAGCTCGGACGTCTGCTCTTCTGTAGGCACCGGATGGGGCGGCGCTGCAGACGACACACCGAGGATGCTACCAAATAGCCGAGACCACCACGATCCCTGCTCTGTCTGAGACTCGACAGCAAGAGACATATCAGGCCAGCGCTTCGCCAGCACCTCGTCCAAGAACCCCGAGAACACCACGATCCCTCCACCACCGTCGGGCCCGAACCCATACGAGAACGCGTTCGACGCGCCCGGCTGGTCCACTACAACCAGCGAGTACGGTGGGCCCGGGATCCCATGCGGCGCTGGGTGCACCTCGCGCGCACGCGCCGCCTCTGCGAACTTCCTAAAGTACTCTGACGCACGCGGGCGGGGACGCAAAGGAAACTCCGCTGGCGGAGGTTGCGGCACGTCGTCGGGACTGCCATCCATCCAGTCTGGAAGTAGCTCCTGCTCGCGCTGGAGCACAGGGATGACTGCTTCGAGGCGCCGGAGGGTGTCGCGCACCCAGGCGTAGCGCCAGTCGGTTGGCGGTATAAGCGTGACCTGTCCGTGCTCCGTGAGGATCTCGCCGATGGCTTGGTACCAGCCTGCGCCTGCTAGCTGTGCGGCAATCTCCTCCTCCTCCTCGGGCGATAACAGGATAAGTCGTAATCTTGCACGCGTTTCAGCACGATGCATGGCTGCACGAACAACCACTGACTCACCGTCCCGTCAAGGGAGTTCGCTCTATACTCGCCATGATAGTGAGCCAGAATAGCAGGACTGGAGTAAAGAGCAAGACGTGAAAGGCGATGGTGTGGAAGCGCACTGTCCGTAGCGCCTTTGCCCGTTTCTCGTCGAGGTCGGTCCTGCCGTCGTTCACCTTGGCATCAATCTTGTTCAGGTGCTTGTGGCCCATCATCTTCTTCACAAACGTCACTGGGAGGAAGGTGAGAGCAACGCGCGAGATGGCATTTGCAGTCTGGATGGCGGTCGACGTCTATATTTGTCGAGAAAGCATGCGCATTCAGTCAACTTATCCGACAGCTGCATGAACGAGATGCCTACTTTAAGGAAAGAGAGCAACAACGGGATGTAGGCGACATTACGCGAGGATGTTGCATGGAAGTCTCTTGCACGTTGCACGAATACAGGGGCGATCGGCGTTGGACGTCTTCTCTCAGCCACCAGAGTTACATGAAATATTCGTTCTTTTGCTCTCCGGGCATCGATGGAAATGCATCGCGCCTGTCCAGCGATGGCAGCTGGACGAGTACGCAGGATGGAAGGGCCGATGAGTGAGCGCAACATCGCACATTGTTGTAGACGGGAAGATGCCGAGCGGACGCGTAGTACGCTATGGGTATCTCACGTCCGGATAACTCTCGCCGCTTCCATCAGCGCTACGCGTCCCTTCGGCCCTGATCTGCTCGCGGCATCGAATCCTCTGATGGGCGCGCGACGTGGAACAGACTCTCCGTCTCGAGGACGTAGCGAAGCCACAGCCGGGGAGGTCGAGGACTACATGGAGCAGCAAAGAGAATCGGATCAGTGGGTGGAGGCCACCATCTCAGACAGATTATAGATTGCACGGAAGATTAGATAAAATGTCGAGTGGCCTTGATGCATGGCTCGAGTCAGAACAAGTGCGACGGAGCCGCTGTCAGCTGCGCGCTATTCACTACTGTCGGCCGTGCGCACCGTCTGCTTCGACGAGCCTCATACGCGACCTCGGTAGCTGTGCATCGTGCTGACCGCAGCTGAGCATTAATCATGCAGTACCGCGTTGGCATTGCGAGTGCCTAGGCTGGTGGCGAAGTGCGAGTCAAATCAGCGTTCGCAGATGATCGGGGCATGGGTCTCCTATGCGCACCCTATATAGATCCGACAATCTGCGTCCCCGCCGACAATGTGCTATGTTGCGATCTCTCCTCGCACGATCCTCTCCACCTAATGCCGCCATCCTCCCATCGTCGCGGCGCTCGACCTTGACGGCATGTTCATCGTCATCCAACACTTCCGGCATGCGCAAGAGCCTTCACATCCTTCAGGTGACTAAGCGACACGAACGAGCCCTGGCTGTGCCGCCTTCCCTCAAAATTGCCCATTCTCATGCCAGGACATTCCACAGTACTCCACGGCGAAGCATTCCGGGTTGCTTTGTTGTTCTAAAGGCGAGTATTAACACCTGTTGCAACAACGCATTTATTAACTCTCTGCGCAGACCTCCGCCGCTATCGCAACTGTTGAGACTGCTGTAAAGGTGTCTCTGACATTCCTCCCCGTCCTTCAGATGGTGCGATTTCGGAGCAAGAAAATACTTTACATGGTCGATCGTAAGATTCAAGCGGGCCGCACCGATCTCCTCGAAAAGAGAGAAAGAATCGCCCAAAGAATGGCACAATCCAAGAAGCTCTTTCGTTTTCTTTTGTATATCCCCGCCGTCCTTGTCTCCATGATGGTGATCGCCAGCCTTGAAAGGACACCTATTACCGGAAGGTGTGTTTCCTAGTACTCACCCTATCTCAAATCGTCTTATGTGCAGCCCTGTAGATTGAGGCTCATCCTCCTGTCTCCGGAAGAAGAGGACGAGATAGCCGCCAAGCTCGCCGGCGTGGGCTGGTACCAAGCCGTCGGTGAGATCCTCTCGCAAGCCGGTAGACCGCAGCTTGTCCCTCCGTCTGACTGGCGCTACCTCTGGGTCCAGGACACCCTTCGCCGGCTCGAATCCATCATCCCTATCCTCCAGCACGAGGATGAGATCCTACCGGATTGGATGGAGGTGACTCTCGACGGCGTCCCACAACCACCGCCGTCCGAGTACCCGCTGCGCCCGCGCCCGAAGGCATCTGAGTACTTCAAGCGCTTCGCAGACGTCGCATGCGCCCGCGAGGCTCATCCTACATCGCATGAATTCACGGGCCCGCCGTATTCGCTGATTGTCATCGAACGACCGGAGTTCTGCAACGCCTTCTCGTACGGTTTTGGGCCAGATGGAGCGGGTGGCATTGTGGTCTTCTCGGGATTCTTGGATGAGATACTGGCGAAGCATTCATCTGCGCCGGTACAATCTCCTCATGAGGAACATCACGAGGATAATTCGTGGTGGTCCTCATTTCTCGGCAGTTTCTTGTCTCTCTCTCCTCCGCCACCTGCACATCCCATGCCTACAGAAGAACAGACCTCCGAGCTCGCCATTCTCCTCGCGCACGAGCTCGCTCACCTTATCCTAGCACATCATCTCGAGACGCTCTCATCGGGCTCGATATTCGCGCCAGGACTCATGTCAATCCTCGCGGACGTCGTCCGCACTCTCGTATTCCCCATCACCATGCTATGTACGCCCGTTCTGTCCACCGTCCTCCAATTACCTAACTAACCTCACACGCACAGTTGGCCCATTCATCAACGACGCCCTCGCCAGCGTCGGCAAAGCGAGCTCTGGCGAGTTCGCGCGCCTGTCAGAAGCCTGCACCAACCAAGTGCAAGAGATCGAGGCGGACGTCGTCTCTGCACGGCTGCTTGCGCACGCCGGCTTTGACCCGCGGCACGCAGTGCAGTTCTGGGAGAACCGCCACGAGATGCCGCAGGGCTCTGACTGCTCGCCTGGCGGCATCGAGCAGCAGGAGGCGCAGAACGAGACGCTCCAGCGCGGCTGGGCGGGGTCGTCGCACCCTGTGAATGTGGAGCGGCTGAAGCGGCTCAAGGAGGAGCTGGACAGATGGGAAGATGCGCGGCGCAAGGCGAGGGAGAAGCGCCGGGTGATGAATGAGCAGAAGAAGGCTAGCGAGCATGTTGTTTCGTAGGGACGTTCATGTAGCGACCCATTGGTTGTGTTTTCTCCACCACTCATAGCTCTGTTTTGTATTAGAATAGTCGTACACTCCAGGATCAGTCTATTTAATCTAACATATGGTATCCAGCTAATCTCTCGAGCCATATGCCTACGTGATAGGGTCACAAACACATATATCTCGACCTGCTACGACCCTGCATGTGTTAGCTGGTATGAGATCGTGGTCATTGGTCGTGTAGCGAATTCCCACAATATCGAGATCAGGCTCCAACATCATTATAGGGAAGGGATGCACGGAGGGATACTCCCAGCTTCATTAGCACAATCTATACAGAGTAGTTTGCAGAGGCCAGGTCAATTCCAATCCAGCCGCGGTATGGTAACACCAGTAGATACAGCAGAGTCCCAATGCTCTCTAGGAGCGACGCACGAACGCTAGCGCAGCGGTCAGACAGGCAGGACGCTGCCCTGGCTCTCGAGGTCCTGCTTTTTGATGGGCGATCCAAAGTCATCTTCCTGGTTGACGACGCGAGTGATGTTCACCGCGAGCGGGCGCATCGCGTATCCCTGCTCATTCACCATCGAGCGCCCTTGCGCAGAGAGGCGCGGGAGGCTGGAAGTCTGCTGGTTTGCCTTCTGGGCCCAGCCGAGCGAGACGCGGAGGTTGATGAGCATGAAGGAGATCCCGGCGATGACGCCCCAGAGGTCGCAGGTCGTGAATTGGATGTTGCTCTTCACTTGATAGGTGATGAAGAAGATGAGGTTCCAGCTCCTGCGATGAGAATCGTTGAGCGGATGTTTGGTTCCCTCACCGGACTTGGACTCACGATTGGAGTGCGGCACTTTCGATGATGATTGCGAGTGCGCCCATGATGTTAGCTCCACCGTATGATTGTGTGTGTATTCTTGTGCGCCATACGCGCCATGCAATCAAGACTTCAAGCACGGTTAGCGATGCCACTTCAAGAGATCGATCAAAAGTGGCTCACTGGAGCAGTAGACGTTTGTCCTGAATGAGTGAAGCACGGATGAGGCTAAGTGTGCCGGATGACTGGAGACATGGAACGTACGTGAATGTGAATACGCAATCACTTGTGATCCATCGACCAGCGGAAGTCTCAAAAACGTCTTCCCCCAAGGTGTACACCGCAAACTGCCAACACACGCCCGTTCCACAGGCTGGACCGTTTCAATGTTTCGAAGCAGTGTAGAAATGGTATTATAACACACCGATCAGTCCACACCAAGTCAGCATGGGAAATATGACGATCCAGTAGTTGTAGCTCCAGACGATGTATAATCGGTAGATCTATGGCACGCCATCAGATGAAGGTCAGTCATACAACCACAACTGAATCGATATGCGACGTACAATCATAATGTCCGAAGTCAGGATCGTCATCACCAGGAAGGCGGTCTTAACAACTTCTGTCCTGAAGGACAGGTCGCCATAGGCAACTAGCGGCTTAGTCCCACCCTCGTAATTCACGAACGCGTCGAACAGGCGAACCACCGTCAAAATCCAATGCTATACCGTGTTCCGCGATATTTGAGTTCGCATCGCAAAAAAGCAGAGCAAGTCTTACTAACAGCAGTAACGGTGCATGCCATGATCATGGCTGCTATGAACATTGGCGTCTTCCACATTGGGCGGGTAGCTCCGCTGGTCGACATCTGGCGCTGTCGCTCGCCCCGCCGTATGAGGAGGTAGGTCGAGACGCCGAAGAGAAGGACAAAGATGCCATAGAGGAAACTCTCCATGCATACCGATGCGAGGTTGACGCTAATAATGGACAACTCTTGCACCATGGTGGACGCGACGCTAGCCTGGGATGCAAACCAAGGAAGGAGGGATGAGGGATCAAAGCATGCCGCACCAACTGCTGCGGGGACAATATAAGACGCGACAGTTGGGTGATATCTGGGTACAAATGCTAGCAGATTGGAGCACTTGGACAAATTGATCTGCCCGGGAGGACCACCATCCTGAGGATCCGGTCGCCGCCCCTTTGCTGCACCGAACTACCAGGAAGCCCGGCTCCAGGGGCGCACCCTTTTGCTGTAACAAAAAACGGAATCGAGATCTGCACGGTCAACTGGACTATCCACGCTGTGTAGCCGAACGGCTAAATCGCAATCGCGACGGTGTGATGCTGACTAAGCAACTATGCAGGGGAACATTGCTGATGCGCGCCGAGTCCCGCCTGGCTTCACAACATCATCTTCGCAACGCCCAACGTCCAAAAGTCGAGAAGTGAATGTCAAGCCGTACAGAAGCTGAAGCGCTGAAGAGTACATATGCATGACGCTCACTGCCGATAAATCTCAGGGCGTGGACGTGCATGCATTGATTTTACCGTGACACCGCGCGGACGGCAGTTATGATAGTTGACGCCAAGAGGCTTTCGAGATCATGACGCTGTTGACGGCTGACCGGGCAGGCCTCTGCTGATCCATGAGAAATCGATCAGATGAGCGTTTGCGTGCTTCTTCGCTTCGGGCGGGTGGCACAGCATCGTCAGTGCTTATCGATTCCATCCCCCTTGAACCCTCGCCTTTCACGTCGGAATGTCAGTACTAACGTTCAACGCCGTCTACAATAATAGCAGAGGATTGGCACCTGCAAGACGTGGCGCGATTCCACACGATGATCCGCAATGCGGCCTCGACAACTAGAATCTGTACCAAACGCATTATGGTAAGGCGCGTATGGCGACGCCTTCTCCGGTCAACGCTCCTCATCGTCCAGCGGATCTGGTTGGCAACCATGTATCCAAACCCGGTCTCAGCCATCGGCCGATGGCTTTGCCGTTGTACACAGCAACCACAACACCATGTAATCGTGAGGAAACAGCCACAGGGCAGATCATTGCTCCCAATGAGAATGTGCTGATATGATATGTCGGGAGAATTGAAAGTAGCCTCTACATGAAGGATACTAACCTTCGAAGTGCATATATGCACAGATGATATGCATTGCTTCGCATTGTGAGAGACGGCACCGCTTCTGACACCATCAGCAGCGATTCTTGAGGAAAGAATTTTAGGCGCGGTGACTTTCAAAGGACCGTGTTCGCGGCAGAGTCGGCCAGCAGAGCGTTGATCATGAGCAAACATTCGCGGCGCCATAAGGTTCAAGGAAAACTGTCGAAGCGGTACAGAAACGTGAAAAGCGGCTAAATCCTCGCAAGGCGTACCGAAGCCGACCTTCGGATGCGACTCGTCGGTGTCTTCCACTTCGGTGTGGAAGAGAGATTTACGCCTAGGACCAGTGATGGGAAAGCATGGTTCATGTCTGACGTGTGTATGTAGCTTTGGTTGGCAGAGCAATGGGGAGACATACAGAATCCACGTAGTAGCGGTGGAGGTCTAGGCTAAAGCGGCACCAGGGAGAATCAGAATCGTGAACGCAGACCTGAGTGCTCGCTTGAGGCTCGGCAGCCGCCGTTGCACGTTGCACCGTTCCCAAGCCGCTGAAGAAGACCGTGAGAAGCGCCAACAGATGCATCGCTGGTGGGTGATATATACAGACTCGTCCCGCGAAGTCATCTACCATATGCAAAAAAGGCCAGAAAAAATTAAGAGAAGATGAGAGTACGTGAAGATCGATTCGCATAGACACGCAGATGCTCCGCCTTGAAGATGCAGTGGAAACAAGGTTTGAAGCCGCAACGGGTACATATGTATGCTCGTCGCAGAAGTGTCGTGGCAGCTGGTAGCAGTATCTGCTCAGGAACAGCTCAAACAGATAGGCAATTTGACTGCACGATACAGGGCCGGTCGAACTGCAGCTTTTAAAGTCAAAAAAAATAACAAACAACAGGATTTGAACATGCATGTTGCTGTACGTTGTACATCTGGAAGCCTACGGTGTGAAGGATCTCAGGAACTCCTGGATCTGCCCTCGCCTAACCCGTCAGGGTTCTCTGGTCTGAGTAGAGAAGTAAAGACCAAATCAAAACTGAGGGGTAGGCCTCAGTTCGAGCCAGTATATATACGAGTGGGGTAAGACCCCTGGTACTGGGTGTAGGACCCTGCATACCCTAGATTCACACTAATACATCATTATGGCATGCTATGGCGTGCTTAGGCCTACAGTGTCTGTCGCTCAAAACCGACGCCTCGGGCATGCTAAAGCCACGAGACCTATCAGCGATTTGAGATCTTCTGTTAAAATCTCAAAAATGTTACCAATCGACTCGGATTGAAGAGAGCTTTCGATCTATCTCATTATTATTTACAAATTCTCAGTTTTAAGAAAATCGACCACCCCAAAAAGTGAATTTGAATTGGAGTACGTCGGAGTTTCCCTATTTGGACTGCGGCATCACGGCTCATGGTGTCTATCAGTAACAGTTTCCTTTTCTGTGAGACGGACTTTCATTGTAGTAGGTGTGTAAATATGTCTAGTTCACTTGTTCACTAACAGATCAACCTGTGTCATGAGTGATGACCCACAGCAATGGATGTGATCTATGTTTCTTGACTGCAAAATCAGCCTGCTTTGCATTCAGCTCCTTTCTAGTGAGAGAATTAGTATCAAAAAATGTAATTACTGATATGCATCCATGTAATATCATGCCATGCAAAAGAATGCTCTAATCATCTCAACAGAGCATGCATGAAGAATTTGGGGCATCAGACACTTTGTGGCAGAACTGTTCCATCTGAGGTTGCTCAGAAGCCTTTGTGATCATATTGAGACCGTAATGTGATTGTTAGAAGAAGCCCTGGTGTGCTTTCATTTAGCCTCAATGCAGCTTTTCGTCAATTGATATGACCTGTCCTTTTACTTACCAACAGATTTACTAAAAACTTACATCCATCATTTTATTGTGCATGTTACTTGATTTATCAAGCAGTCTGAGTTCTACCAGCCATCATGATTCTTCCTCAGATACATAATTATGAGCATCAGTGACCTGAGTCTATGATTTAGCATGCTGCTACTTCACCTGGTTTCTGTTTTTCATCAGAGGAGCCATTGTGTCACGGTAACACCGGACAAGAGATCAAAAGGACTAAAAAGGGACAGTCACGTGGAACGTGCCGCCCTGATCCCCCTGATCCCAAAAGTATCCCCCTGAACCCTATGTGGCGTAAGAGCCTGTTGACTTACTGGTCGATGTGGCAGATGCAGGAAAGGGTGAGAGATATATGAAGGAGCTGGTGAGCTCAGTGAGTGCTACAGGTAGTAGACGAGGAGAAACAATCTGAGGTTCCGTCCCCTACATGGCTGGTCTTATATACACATACAGCAGGCTATCTTACCTAAGCTACCTATCTACGGGTATAAGCAAATGGCCGTACATGAAACAATAGGATGTCCAGAAGTAGAACAATAAGTGGGAAGATCGATGGTTGCCGCAGTAATGCCTGTGCACATCGTGCCTATCTTGGTTTCCCTTTTGTTCTCCGGTGTGAACATCGTATCTATCTAGGCTTCTGGCTAAACTAATAGGAAGCAGAAGGCCGATGCATAACAATAGTCCTTGTTCCCTTTGTTCCCAAATGGGTGCCTCTATTGTATCCTGGAATAGACAGGTCCGACCGTATCATCCACGGGTCTGGACCATAACATGTGATGTGGACTATCACCTGATCTCTACGCGTCACGTCTGTGGCTGAGTGGCGTGAGATATTGGTGAAGCACGTGATTTGTGGTGTGAGAAAAGTCATGTGTGGACTTTGTGGCAAAAATCTGTGACACTACCCCCCTCTCAAGGCTCATTGTCCCGAGGAGTCAAAACCTTTATTACCCCTTCTAGTTGCTCGCAATGGTTGGTAGCTTCAGGAGGAAAGCCCTTCTGCATAATACTCGAAGATTATTTGGGCTATTCTATCTCCCGGCTTGACTGAAAATACGAAATCCGTTGTGTTGATTAGTACGACCTTGAGTTCCCCAGTGTAATCTGGATCGATGACTCCTGCGCCCACGTCAATTCCTCGTGCAGCTAGTCCGCTGCATGGAGCTATTCGTGTATAGGTATGTTTGGGAGGGTCAATCGTGACTCCTGTTCCTACCACAGCTCGTGAATGAGGGGGGATTTCATGCGTTTCTGCTGCATAAATATCCCATCCTGCTGCTTCATTTGAGGATTTTTTCGGTGATTTGACGAGATCTGTCATCTTATGATATAGGAAGAAATCATCTGGATGGTCGGACATGTTGATTCGGTGTGTGGAGATCGGTGCAACTTCATACGAGGATAATTCGAAGCGTTTTCCACCAAAAGTGACGACCCTGATTGGTGCTTTGGCTGCATCTGGGTGTTGCTGGTGGAATTCATGAAGAAGCTCATCGACGTTGGTAAGATTTGTTCAGGGTTCCCATGTATCATCAGAATGGTCATAGCCTTTCCATTTGACGAGGTATTGGACCCTTCCCCTTACAACCTTCGAGTCTAGTATTTCCTCAACTTCGAATTCTGGTTCTCCTTCGATTTCTATGGCTGGGGG